TAAAATAGGATAGTAACTAGAAAAGTAACATTTGCAAAGCAAATGCATAATGTTTACCTTCATATGGTCTAGTCCACAGAACTACTGCTCTGTTTATTTTCATACATACCCGTTTTAATTCATCATATATGTAATATATGGTGATCAGCCTCTTCCTCTCTGTTCTGGAACAAAATGTAACGCAACACCACGCGTTACCATGGTGACAGACGTCTGGTTCAAGTCATTGACCTTATTTGTTTGGAGAAGAAGAAGAAACTGAGCAAAAACAATATGTTTTCCTTCTGCGAAGGTAAACATAATGAGCTGATATCAGCGTGCAAAATACCTGGTTTCCCAGTTGCCCCGGGCAACCAAATTTTACTTGGGGCAACCTATTTTTGAACCTAGGTAGCCCAATGTGTTACCTGAATTTTAATCATGCCCACTTGGCTTGCACCACTGTATCAGGCAGATGCTTTTTAATCTTAGGTATTAATAGCTATTACTAGTATCAGTTAACTAAAGGCTGTTAGAAATATTGTCAAAGGCTTATGTATGTAACATTGCTTAATTTGAGGAAAGTAGTAACTTATGAGGTGGGGCAACCTAAAATTCTGATGGGCAACCTAATTTTTGCCGTAGGTTCCCACTGGGGAATAAGGTAAACTATTATAATTTTGTCAGTTGTTTCTGCTCAACTAAACGGATATCTCAGACAAAAATACGATACAAAAAAGGGGAAGAAACCTACAAATATACGGGACTTGAACCAAGTACTTGACACCACACGAGCGCAAGCACTCTCACACTAGCTCACTCCGCTACAAGTCATGGTAACGTTACACCCTCTTTTAGTACCTTAAACGTCTATCAAACCCTATTGAAATATAGAACGAAATCAGTCTAAAATCCTTCACTCGAAAAATCCCCCCAAAAAACTACAAATAGTTAAAGGCTAATGGCTTAGTTAAAAAGTAGGACAGTCGGTCGATATTTTTCTGACCTGTTTTTTTTTTCAGTTGGTCTAAAATTTGAGCTCTCTGTGGCCTGAATTGGAGAGTGCCCTGGGGCGTTACGCCGTAGTGTGTGCGTCAGCCAAGCGCTATGTTTGGTGGGCAACAGCCAAACAACAATCCTTTAAGTACAGTGTAGAATCTTCGGCCAGGTAGGAACTATAGAATTCTATCTAATTATAGTTTAGGCCGCTCTTTGTATGATCATGCAATTACCCAGGTCTTTATAAGGGACACTGTAGTTACTGGGTGGTTTTCAACTTCAAGTTGTATTTTGCCAGTCTTTCTTTGAAAATAAAGATGTCTGAATACAGTCGTTGCACATAACGCTACTTCTGCTGTTACAGTGTTCTTGCATGTAACGTATGCTCTTATAGTTGCACAATAAAATCACTACATATCATTAGAAAATCGCACCAACCTGTTAGAAGATCTGACGAGTACGGACCTGACACAGCGGACGTGGTGAAACATCGAAGTATTGGGGACAGATCATTTATAATATGGGGACGGTCGCCCATACAACGATTTCACCGCTATTTTCAACAGTAGAATTAAAAATTGTGACTTAAAAAATGTACGTTCAAACCTGATTTTTAGCATTGTATGAGCATTCTGGGAGCAATTCGGCGACGTAAAATAGAATTTTCAGCGACCACCCCTGGATTGAAAACGACTCTCCCCTGAAGTTAAGCGCTTAAAGAGTGCTGCTTGAGAGAATGAGTGGTTTGAACGCCAGACTCCGTGACGGTTGTGGACACTGATTCTTTGTTGTCAACACGTCCCGCATTTTTCTTACCCTCCAAGCAGAGGTTTGGATTTTGGCTTATTTTTTGCGTGTTTTAGGCTTTTTTTTTTAAATCGGGGTTTCTTTTTTGGGTGAAAAATAAAAACGTGCAAAATATTAGAAACCTCGATAAAAAAAGCCTAAAAACACGCCAAAAATAACCCAAACCTCTGCTTGGAGAGTACATTTTTTTTTCACCCAGACAGCCGCCCTACATAGTTAGGTGGTTCAATCATGGCCTAAAGAGGAGTCTAAATTGATGCTTGCATTAGATACAATCCGTTAATTTGGTGGTTGAATTTTAAAGGGCATACGTGGACGACAGATTAACTTCAAATTCTAACACGGAATTTGGGCTGTGAGCATTTAGATAGATACAGCAGACTTCACCCCTTTGAAGGTCACCCTCTGACACACAGACACACACACACACACGCACACACACACACACACATACACACAAACACACACACACACACACAAACTCACACACACACACTCACACACAAATTCACACACACAAATTCACACAGACACACTCACAAAGCAACATGCTCTTTTTGTACCCATGTTGAAAAGAGAAAAACCCTAAAGGGATGACTTGAAAACAGCAAGGGATTCCAAATATTTGCACATTACTCTTTAGTTCAAGTTCAATGGCACTATGTACACATTAGGCCATACCAATTTAATTTGTTGTTTCTCGGATTTTTTCTGAAAAAATCAGGAGCGACAGGGCGACAAAAAAAACAGGCCAAGGCACCCCATGATAGCTGGAATTGTTACAATATGAGCCATGAAGTCAACATACCAGGCTGGTTTATAATTAAAACAATAGATTTTGGACTTTTGATGAAACAAAATTGCATTGACACTTTGAAAACTTTAACAACTAGGAAGAAGAGGACTTTTTCAACTGTTGGTTGATTTAGAACCTAAAAAAATTTTTTTTTTGCAAGTCAGGAAAAAATGGACAGGGCAAATCCAAGAAACAACAAATTAATTGGTGAGGCCTTAACTATAATAACATAGTATCATTACGCTTTAACACCTGCTCTGGAAATGCACAACTTGTAAGTGTTCGTCCATCCGAAAACTCCTGGCTTTTGCAAACTGGGCGAATGGGACGACAAAAGAACTTTCAACGCCTGCGTTTGTTGTTTGAAGTGACTGTTATAGGTACTGAGGGGTCAGCCACGGGGGGCCAAAATGTCATGTTCAAAAGCTCTTAACACACAAGTGAAAAAAAAACACTCAGTGTTGGCTGCCTGTGCAAATGCGCTTCTTGTAGTTTTTCGCCATCACTTGATGTCTACTGACTGTTGATCAGAGTATGTTTGGCTGAAAAAATTGATCAATTAATACATTGATTGATCAATGAGTCAATCAATCAATCAATCATGTTGATGTTCAATCAACAATGTTCAGAACGAGTAAAAATATCTTACTAGAGAAGTAACATTTGCAAAGCAAATGCATAATGTTAATCTGCTCTGTTAATTGTCACTCACACACATTCACATACATGTACTACTAGTATATGGTGACAGGAGCAGAGCAGACCATAAAATTGCAACATTATGTAACCCAACACCAGTCACCATGGTGACAGACATCAACAAATCATGTCATTGGTCAGGTCATAGGTCACTGTTTGGAGAAGAAGAAGAGGAAGAAACTGAGCAAAAACAATATGTTTTCCTTTGGTAAACATAAAAATTTGACTAAAGAAAACACACAGCTCCAACTCTCAAACTAAACACACAATAGACTTGACACCACTGTTTAATATTAGCAGAATATCTGATTCATTTACTACATACTCTGGTACTGTAATTTTGATCCACCATAGGTAAAAATTCACATGATTAGGTACAGTTTACTGACAAACCATCAGTACTGAAAATTTACTGTTAAGTATTGATCAACTACTAACAGTAAAATTTCAGTAAATTTTCAGTAAATAATCTTTTACTGTTTTACTAATTAAAAGCATTACTGGTAAGTACTTATGCCTCTATTTACTGTTCTTTTACTGTCATTACAGTACTGAATTTTACTGACATTTACTGTCTGCCTCTGTTCAATTACTGTCAATGGGGTGTTTTAATCAATGTTACACAGCATCACTATTTAAGACTTCTGACTGCTTTATTCTGCATATGTGTATAAATGTGTATATGTGTGTATAATTATACAATAATGACAGAAATTGAAGGGTTGGCCAATAGCAGCTAACATCTGCCCAAATATGGCTTTGTAATTTGATACTGCATGGACTGTACCAACAGAGGGTGTAAGAGGGGTGTGTAGGGTAGATCAGTGTTGGGAATATTAGCAGTCACATATTTACAGTTGCAATAATTACATTGCCATATTACTACAGTCTACAATATCTCTAGTAAATATTCACAATATATACATGTACTCCTGTGCTCTATTATTTCTATATGTTTGATCATCATTAGGCCAGGTTGATTTGATTATATGTATAATACCCGTATGTGCATGCATTTTCGTCTGTTTCAAAAAAGTTTCCAACCATACTTAAAAATCATACAAAGTAGCTGCAAATGAGCAAATATTTGCCGTAAATTGAACAAAAAATTGGAAAACTATGTCACAGAATGCCAAAATCCATTCCAAAGGACAAGAATAAAATGCAAAGGAATGAAAATGAAGAGTCTATTTTTCACCATGCCAATAAAATATTACTCTGTGTGTTTAGTCATTTCTTCAACCTTCATGACCACCTAGATTTCATAATGAAGGCCACTTTTTTTTGCCAAACTTTTTTTTATTTGCACGCTCGCATCAGTTTTGGGGTTCCCAGAGGATGTCATCCATGTAATCAAATTAACATGGCCTTACAGCAGACATGTTGGCTTTCTGTCCAGTCCCACTTAGACCACACCAATTTAGTTTCTTGGTTAACTGATTTTTCTAGAAAAATAATGGAGCAGACGGGCGAAAAAAAAATAAGAATAAAAACAGGCCTAGGCATCCTATTATGGAACAAAATGGTACGATAGGAGCCATAAAGTCAACACACCAGGCTGGTTCAAAATTCAAGCAGTGAATTTTGAACTTTTAATGATACCATTGCATTGAAAGATGGAATAACTGTATTACAACTAGTATGAAAAGGACTGTTTTCAACTGCTCACTGGGCAAAATATGAGCATTTTGCAGTTGATTCTGGATTTTTTTTTGCAAATCAGAAAAAAATGAAGCGGGCAAATCCGTTAACCAAGAAATTAAATTGGTGTGGCCTAATTGTACAGTAGGAAATGTACACCACACCCAGACAGCTAGACTGGCATTACACTCTGCCATTATGAATCAGTAGTCCAGGTATCTCACTGTCGTCAGCCCTTTGTCATCTTCTAGGATTCCCTCCACTCGCGCTCTCTGTTGGCATGACATAAAAAAAGAAATTTTCATAATCATGAAATACAGAAAGATAGGAAGCCATGACTTCTATTGAGGTGAAGCTTCAGATGCTTTTTCAAGTTAAGCTACAAAATGTAATAGAGTGATGTGGTCTTGCATTTTGACAAACTTCCTCTCCACCCAACCTGCCACCCAAAAAGGACCCACCTGCAAACAAGCAACCAAGAAAGCAACCAAAATGAACCCACCCAAAAAGGGCCCACCTGCAAACAAGCAACCAAGCAAGCAACCAAAAAGAACCCACCCAAAAAGGGCCCACCTGCAAACAAGCAACCAAAAAGAACCCACCCTAAAAGGACCCACCTGCAAACAAGCAACCAAGCAACCTGACCAAAAAGAATCCACCCAAAAAGGACCCACCTGCAAACAAGCAACCAAGCAACCAACCAAAAAGAACCCACCCAAAAAGGACCCACCTGCAAACAACCAACCCCAAGCAACCTAGAAAGCAAGCAAGCACTCGAGCAAGCAGGCAAGCAAGCAAGCAAACCAAACAAGCAAGCAACTAAGCAACCAATTGAAAACACACAACTAAGCACACACACACATACGAACAAACGTCCACTCCCTCCTGACCCCTGTACCAACCTGCATCCTGTCCAGCTTGTCTCCAGGGTTAGCGTTGTCCAGGTAGGGTGGGACCAGTGCCTCCAGTCTGAGGGCCTTCAGCGAGTGAGGCTGGCACGCAATCAGGTGTTTCACCTCCTGGGCCTGGAGGGGAGGGGGGGGTGAGCTGGACTTTAGCAATGTAGTGTGATTGCATTGCATTGTAGCATGGAAGTTTATCTGTGTTAGTAGTAATCATAGCACAATGCTGAATTAATTTATATTATATTATATATAACGTTATATATATATATATGTCAGGGCACTCCAGCCATCACTTAACAGAGACAGTGGAAGATATAAACTGCCGAGCATGTTTGACTGTGTCACGTATCTGTAAGTCTCTGCGAACTGTGAACTTTTGCTACTACAAACATAAAGTGAATTACTGTAGCTGTTTCTCAAAATACAATACTGACCCTGTTACTCTGATATCTTAGCCGCATCACCCGAAGTCTGTTCCTGGCCTCTGCAGCTCTGATGGAAAAGAATATCAAACATGAAAACAAAAAAAAAATACACTGTTCTTCAAAATCAAATGACAAACTTTTTGTTGAATGCTGTAACAGTTGCCATGGTACATGTAATATACTAGTAACTAGAATTCCACGATTTCATGCCTTCGACAAAATTAATGATGTTAACAAATGATGTTAACTCTCATTTTGGGTCAGTTTTGCAAATCTGTGTTCACCTACAACAATAAATAAGTCTTTATTTTCGAGGTCTAGGGTATTGGTTTACCAGCAAATCAGACAATTAGCGTTGTTTACACGACTTCAAAACGCTAGAGAGCTGGAGTTCTTGTTAACTGTCTGAGAAGCTCAATACTAGTCCAGCAGTCCTGCAACAGAGCCCCCTAACAGGTTAGGGGAAAATGCAGCATGTCAAAGAACGAGAGCTAACTACCATCTAAAAATCATGACCCTTGCACGTCCAGATCACGAAATTTAAAAGCCAGAAGTTTCACTGCAGTACGTTCTAATTCAATGACATGGGGACCCCCCCACGAAGCCCATCAAAGTCAAACCCTCAAATGCAGCCAGTATGAAATTCCTGTCAGTCACCACTATTGCATTATACTACTATTTATAGCATTTTTCTCATTATTTATGCAAATTAAGCCTTATTGACACCAAATATTTGTGACCCCAGCCTGTTTACATCGTGAGCTATCAAAACTGCTTGCCTGCCCCAGATAATGTAGAGCTCAAGGATGTGACCCACTTCCACATCTGTGTCTATTTTGATATACAGTACTAACTTGTCAGGGCTGTTTTCAGAGTAGCTGAGACTCTTGTTATTATAGGACACTTCGTTGGTACTGTTCAAACAAACATCTCTACACCCTGTCAGTGTTCTTGTTATCTTACCTTAGTTCACCCTGATATCTGTTATCCTTAGTTTAACCAACTACATAAAAGGACAAAGACTTCGCCTACACTTTAAAGATGTGCAAACAAAATGTCCTTAGGCTATTACACGTACCCACAACCTACTACAGACTCCAAACTTTAAACCCTCAATCTAAACCCCTTAACCCATTCACAAAAAATTTAAGAAAAAATTCTATTCTACAACTTCAACTACTGAAAAACTAACAATCACCAAAAGCCCACTACGTAACTGCAGTATGAAAGACATTTAGATTTCTCTTATCAATTAATCAAATTGGGTCACAATTTACATAATTAATATCTGTTACTGTTCCTCTTCCTCTTGATTAAATATGCCACCATTTTAATTGTTCTATTATGGAACACAGCAGATTTATAGACTTTTGTCATTAATTATGTAAATTAGATCGTGATCTGCGTAATTGTCATCTAATTAGGTCAAGCATCACTTAAGCTACCGAGATCCCAAAAATAACAACAATCCGTCAACCGGTTCTTGAGCTATCCTACTTCAGACATTTTCAAACAAATGCCTCTGCATTTCCCAAACAAGCTGCTACGGGGCCCAAACTTATGGCACTTTTTTGTGAGCACAAGAGCTACGTACCATCTAAAAATCATGACCCTAGCACGTCCAGATCATGAGATTTAGAAACCAGAAGTTTCGCTGCAGTACTTTCTAATTCAATGACGTGGGGACGCCCCACGAAGCCCATATCCGAACTTGACCTTGGTATTGTCAATGGTAACTTGCCAACTAAAAAACATGAACATCCATTTAAAGATTCTCGAGTTATCTTGATGACAAGAAAAAATACAAAAAACAAAGGTCAACTGCGGTGACATAGAAACCCCCACGGGGCCCATCTTTGAACTTGACCTCGGCATTTGCAACGGTAACGTGCCCACTAAAAATCATGAACATCCATTTAAGGATACTCGAGATATCTTGATGACAAGGAAAAAACACCAAAAACCAAGGTCAACTACAGTGACTTAGGAACCCCCCACGAAGCCCATTTTTAGCCTTGACAATGGCCACCCCTAAATCAACCTGCCTGCCAAAAATCGTGAACCTCGGACCTTGCCTTCAAGAGTTATCGTGCCTAATCTGCCAAACAGTGCAAACCCGATTTCATAACCTTCTCCGAAGGCATAGCCTTCAGTCGAAGGCAATGAGGAACATTCACTTACTTGAGTTGTCCTATGAGCTTGCTGTGTTTTTCTTTCTCCACAAATTCATCCATGGACATGGGAGGGTTTGCTCTGAAATGGAATAAGTGGAGTTATTAAACAATTATTAGTGGTTTCTGGAAGTTTCTGAAATAATGTAAGATAAACTACAGAGTAACAAAATCATGTGAAATCTAAGACAGTGAGTCAGTTGACTGACCTTCTCTGTGCCTTTCGAAGGTCACGGACTCTCTTCAAGGTGGACGCCTGTGCCTCCTGTACAGGCTTTGAAGGCTCCTCGTACTGAAAAAAAAAGAAAATTGAGGTCAAGATTGTTGGCGCTCACTCGGTGGTTTAATCAGTGGTTATAGGAAATGACCAAGCTTTATGACACCATATACACCTTGGGGTAGGTCATTAACTCTTAACTACTTTACTGGTAACTGATTCTCTCAGTATAAATCTGTCACTTCCTCCCAGCCTACAAGTCAACCTTCCTGTCAGTCTGTGGTTATGCCATTTCCCCCATCACTTCCTGTGATTCAAATAAGGCCACACCTAGTAATTTTTATGTGTGTCAGCAAACAGAGCCGGGAGACATTCCTGTGGACATTCCAAGCCTGTGGACAAAATTCCCGTACAATTCCTAGAATTCTTGCAAACTACACACAATACTGTACCATTGGGCTCCTCCCTGAGACATCGCCAAAAACAACTGAAACACAGCTATACAGCACTTACTGCCAGGTATTTGCTTTTCTCCTGTGGCGCCATCTTGTTTAGCGTCCGCGGGGACAGCTGTCGCCAGTTCTTCGCCACAAACTTCTCTTTCGGACCGTCATCATCACCGCCCTTCTTCAGGGGAGGCAGGGTGACCTTTGAACCCTTGGGGTACAAGACAAGAGCAATTGTTAGCAGAACGTACTGCACATTCGTGAAACCCCTAATGAATTGTACATAGCACTTCAGCAAAACGTCTCATATAAGGTTGTATTCGAGCATATAAGGTTAAGTTCCTGTCTGTAGTTTCCATATGTTATGTTTAGTAGCCATACCTACACAACACTACATCACAAAGAACACTAACACTACATTAGGGGCCATCCCCTCAGATACATAACTCTCAGTTGCAAAACATTTTCAGATCCAGTTACTTCCCAAGAACTATCATAGAATGGAACGCACTACCGGAACACTTAGTGACACAATTATCTGTCGACACATTCAAGACGGGGTTGGCCCTGCACCTGGGCCACCCCGTCTCACAGATGTAAGTCGGGATTACTAATTGCGGCCACTCACAAAATGCACAAATTTATCGTTCGGTTTTGTTTTTTTTTCATGCACATTTTTCTTCACCGCACCCCACCGGCCACAATTATTATAGCTGTGCACCCTGGGCAGGATGCCCTAGATAGGGCTTTGCTCAGTATTATATAGAACTAGAACTATGTTAGAAAAGATATTGTCTGCAGCAGGCAAAATTTCGCAGTTTCACACAGTCAGACAATTGTGCATTCTGCCAACTGCTAAAGACAAGTGTTTTCAATCTTAAAAGGATTAGGAAAGAATTTAAAAATGTTCTTTTCAGTCCTGAAAAAATTAGGGTCGCTTTTCAACACTCCTGTTACTTAGGATCTAGCACTGATCATATGCAAATTGCAAAATCTTTTAATTGCTTTACAAACTCAATAAGGTATACAGCATAAAAACTTGAAACAGATCTTAATATCCCAGAATGTAATTTATGTAGACCAAAACTGTGAATGCTGATCAAATTAAGGTCTGAGAAATTTGGGTCAGATCTTTTGATCAAATTATGGTCACATTTTAATTAGGGTAAGAACTTTTGCAACAATTGCATGCCCAGATGAGACTTTGAGTCACTTTTTTGTACCATTTATGCATACAGTATAGAAATAAATCAACATTTCAAACAGTTGTACGGTAAATAAATACTTGCCCCTCTTTTAATTCTGCAACAGTCTTTAAAGTAAGAAACATAAGTGATCATAAGTATTAAACTGTATTTTACCTTTTTGTCTTCCGCCATTCGTCTAAACTATAGTGGTGGCCTTCACCGAATCAGTTCATTGGTTCAAGTATGCTTCAACTTGCACAAAAGCTCTCGAAAAGGCGTTAAATTTCGAGAAAATTGAAGAGAAACGCGCCCAAATCTTCACAGCTGCAAAACCCGGAAGTGTTTGTTTGGTTGCCAGGTATCCCACAATGCACCGAAAGTTACGAGGGGACTTTTACCCACAGTTCCTAGCGACTTCCTCTTTCCAGCTCGGCCGCCATCATGGGTGAGTGAAAGAAAAAATCCACCTAAGAAATCCTCAACAATCCGCCTTAATTCTACCACACTTAAAGCCAAAAATTAAAAGGAACGATGTCTAAGACATTTTTAATTGTAGTAGAAGTGTTAGTTTATGCGTCAAGACCATTAAAGAGTTCCCGTTGGCGATATTTTAGACCGATGTCCGACCAACATGGAGAAAGAAAATACGATGCATGCACAAGTAGCCAGTACTAGTAGTAAGCTAGCAGACTTTTCTAGAAAATAAAACGTTCTTATTCACTACACAGCTTATACCAGGGCCGCAGCCTGTTATCTAGTCTATTCTATTCATCTACTTGAATTTAATTCGTGTTGGCCGTGCGTGATCAAAAGAAAATCTATGTTGATATGTCGTCACTGAATGACCAAAATTATGGGGGGGGAGTAGACGTGTTCCTAGTACTACAGTCAAACTTACATATCGATGCGAATATCCACCTGTGCATTAAAGCCACCATGCCATTTTGGACAATTTTGGTGATCCCTGAGGTTATTTTTCCACATCATGTTGATGAATATTGAGTGGCCACTGACCACCTGTCTACATCCAGTCTAGAGTGAGCATCTAGTAGAGTGACCATTTTCTTTGTTAAAGTCCATAACTTCAGTAGTTAGTTACTACAGATTTATGTGTTTATTTAAATCAAATTTGATGGTGTCAATCACAGGTATCTCCCGTGACAACTGGCACAAGAGGCGCTCGACCGGAGGTCGGCGTAACCCAATCAGGAAGAAGAGAAAGTACGAGCTCGGTCGTCCGCCAGCAAACACCAAGGTAAGACATTTATTATCCCAGGTACATGATCATGTATTTGATATTGATGTAGGAATAGAAGTTTTTGCAATGTTTGAGAAGTTTGTGGTTGAAACAAAACTGTAGCACAAAAAGACTGCAAATTTTGCAGTGCCATAATTTTGCGGTGGAGAGTCAGTGTTAAAAAAAAAACATGAAAAATTTAAAAGTAACAGCAGTTGCTTTCTTTTTCTCTTCGCAGCTTGGCGCCAAGCGTGTCCATCTTGTACGCTGCAGAGGCGGGAACGTGAAGTTCCGAGGACTCCGATTGGACACCGGCAACTTTTCCTGGGGCTCTGAAGGTACTAGGAGAGCATCTCCCATTTACAAAAGTTTTCAGTACCAGGGATCGAAATACTGGGTGCATGTGCACCTTAGTGCACCTAAAGTTGGAGCAGTGCACCTAATATTTTTCTGTAGGTGCACTGGTACACCCAAATATTTTTGTAGGAATCTTTAGCATTAGAAATGTATAATAGTATACCTGATATTCTTGGTCTCGAAGTATTAGAAAAATAATAAAATCTTTGCGTTATAGCACTTGTGTAAGATTTTGAATTTAGCTCAGAAGAGGAGTAGTAAGACCTGCAATTAGGTTTTGTTTCATATGGTGCACCCAAAAAATTTTTGTGCACCTAATTTTTTAGGTTGGGTGCACCAGTGCGCCTATTCCCAAAAATGAATTTCGAGCCCTGGTACTGTAGTGGATGCTGCTTGAAATGTCTGACAGGTTTCATAATTTATCCAGTTGCTTCGAAACTTTTCTGAAGCATTTGAGTTAATCTTTCTCTCTTCCTCCCCATAGCCATCTCCCGTAAGACCCGTGTCATCGATGTCATGTACAACGCTAGCAACAACGAGTTGGTGCGTACCAAGACGCTGGTGAAGGGCGCTATCGTCCAGATCGACAGCACGCCGTTCCGCCAGTGGTACGAAGCACACTACGCCCTCCCTCTCGGACGCAAGAAGGGACAGAAACTGGTTCGTAGCACGATCTTTTGGCTTTCTAAAGAAATAAATAGACAGTATACCCTAGATAACCAGGTGTTTGTCCATCAATGCTAAATGTTTATATCTAACATTTAGTCTTGTTGAAGTGAGAGTACAGTTCTTTTGTTGTCTTCAGTACCAACAGCTTGACAAGTCTGCTGTAATACTTTGTGTATTCATGAAAATACTATGAATGATACAAATTTGTTCTGAAGCTGAAATGTAATTCGCAACACAAAAATTTTTATACGATTTTTTGTTAGAAACTACAATTCAACTTTGCTTCAGAAAGTTTGTCTGTGTTGATAGTTAAAATATAAGCTGTAGTTTTGTTCAACTTCCAACACAACTAAGTGCATAGATGAATTTGTCTGTATGAAAAAGTCTGTACTTGCAAATCCATCTCAGTGTTTTTATCTCCACGCCAGACATTTTAGTAGAACTATGGTCTTGACCCTAAATACTAATATTAGTAAGTATGTTTTGTTTGTATCTTCAATGTTCATCTTGTGTCTGTGTGGTGTATATGTGCCTCCTGACAGATTTCTTTGATTTTGCTTTTGCAGAGTGAGGCTGAAGAGGCAGTCTTGAACAAAAAAGCGTCTAAGAAGGTCATGAAGATGTACAGGGAGAGGCAAAAGAAAGCCAAGGTTGCCCAGCCTCTGGAGGAACAGTTTATGCAAGGAAGATTGCTCGGTAAGAAACATGAAGGTTCTAAGAGTTAAGTTTCATCAGATTGGTAAATTAGAGAATGTTTAGACTCATCTTATTAACTTAGTTTTGAGGAAAAATTTGCAAAAATAATATCTTTAAAATCTCCAATTAGGAAAGCTAATAGAAGAGAGGTGCAGGTTTTTAACAAAAGATTTTAGGAAACAGTATTTTAGCACTGTTCGTCTTACCAGTGTAAAGGATCTTTCCCAATGCTATAATGATCAGCTAAAAATAATTCGTCATTACTGTTTACTGTCTAGAAAAATCAGAATGATGTCTTAAGCAGAATGATGACACTATCTGGTACAGAGATGGTTTTGTGCTGTTCCAGCACTGGAAACCATCACATGACCCAACCATTGTCATAGTTACACTGACTGCTTCTTAATCCTACACATTGTTTAACATATTGTTGATTTTGGAAAGTAAACAGGTGAAAAGACTGTGCCGATCAAAACTAACCCTCTCAGAAAACCCATGCAAAAGTGAGATAGACTTAGAGGTTCACGTGTCATTTTTTTTTTTTTCCTTGATCCTCTACTTTTCTTAGTCTCTGAAAAGAAATCAAACCCCAGTAGATTTAGGGAGTTTGCCTTAACTTCCAATCATGTAATGTTGTTACCATTGTTTGTATTTCATTACACAGGTTTTTGTGCTTGCTATCACAAACAAGAATTCGGAGATTTCATACCTCCATGATATATGAGTTTTTGTAAATGTGTTAAGTTTAATTTATGGTTTTCTGAATTCAAATGACAATATTTTTCGTGTAAATTCCTTTGTCATACTTCATTTCAACTACAATGTGCGAAAACACAAACACACACACACACACACAGACAGACACGCCAAAAACAATACCTCCATTTTTCATGGATGTAATAATTATTCTATAACTGAAGGAACTGTTTGTTGTGTTTCTGCAGCCTGTATTGCATCGAGACCAGGCCAGGTGGGGCGGTGTGACGGCTACATTCTTGAAGGGAAGGAACTCGAGTTCTATTCCAGGAAGATCAAGGCCAAGAAGGGCAAATAGGCAACACAGGAAGGACGGCACTATTCCTGACATGCACTATATAAAATCTACAAATTGAAAAGTACATCTGGCTTCTGTTGTTATTGTTTGTTGATTTGTTTGTTTGGATGGATGTGTGTTTTTGATTATTGCTGGGGTACCTGCTTTGAGAGGTATCCGTACAAAGTAGTGCTGTGTACCTAAACCCACATTTAGGTTCAGATTCAAGTCCAGAGGTTTAGGTTCAGTTCTGGACTTGAGTCCAGACCTGTATGTGAAATGGTCTTTTATGGTAATAAGTCCGGACTCGGTTCTAGACTTTTAGGGTTTTTTTTTTACTTGAACCTAAACATTCTTACAAGTCCGGATCCAAGTCCAGTGAACCGGTACACAGCACTATTGGAGAGGTAGCCGTATACGTACAAAGCATTACAGACCAGACTTGCACACTCACAAACACAAAGGATGGATTTAAAGATGGTTTAATGTATTATCATTACAGTAGCGGACCTAGAAGGACAACTACATAATTTGTACCAGTATTGCAACATTTGCAATTCTAACTTCGATGTGAACTAATTTTCACCTTATAATACCGAATACAACTCTACTACAATACTACACGCATTTTTACTTACCACGATTTTTCAATATTATCTTCAAATTCATTTATAGGCATTTTTCATAGTGACTTATATACATAGTAATAATAGATAATGTGCAGATTACTTATAGTTTCTTGTCCAATGACGCTATCAACTTTTAAGTCTGATTTTTTTGTAGAATAAAGTTAAGTCCATCAATACATGGGGTACATCATATACAAATCTTAATTCAGAGGTACAGTGTAAACATGTACATCCACAGACACTTATTAAATACATTACAACTAGCACAACTGATACACCATTTACTTTCCTCTTAGGCCACACCAATTTTCTTGGTTAACGGATTTTTCTGGAAAAATAATGGAGCGGGTGGGCGAAAAAAAAAATAAAAACAGGCCTAGACATCCTATTATGGTCCAAAATGGTACGATAGGAGCCATGAAGTCAACACACCAGGCTGGTTCAAAGTTTAAACAATGAATTTTGAACTTTAAATGATACCACTGCATTGAAAGATGGAATAACTGTAGCAACTAGGAAGAAAAGGACTCGTTTCAACTGTTCAGGGCAAAATATGAGCATTTTGCAGTTGAATCTGAATTTTTTTTTTTTTTTGCAAATCAGAAAAAAATTGAGTGAGCGAATTCGTTAACCAAGAAATTAAATTGGTGTGGCCTTATCACTACATTTGAAGCTTAATGGACATGTTAAGTACTGCACATCTACGCAGCCTGCAACTGTTTTCCCAGGTATTCCCTGAAATATAAAAGCAAAAGAATGAATCACAAAGAACACCTTTTGGCTATTCATGACTTAATAAAATCATGCTTTCACTCCTGATTATATGGTACAGTTCCAAAACATTCATCGATACCCAAAACACTCTTGGAAATTTCAATTTTTTGTGGTAAACCGTACTGGTTTTGCTTGATAAACTTGAAAGGTATGTTTACTGACCAGTTGTGAACCATGAGTTTCTGTACAGCTAGTAGGGCCTGGTAGCGCACAGACTGGTCCTCATGGTGCATGTGCTGCATCACCAACTGTTTCCCTCCAAGGGTCTCAATCAGGCTGGGCAAGAGAAGAAGGAAACCATTAAAAATCATAAGAGGGCAGCCAATACTAGAAAGGTTTGCAAATGCATACATGTAATGTCTACCTCCACATGGTCTAGTCTATCAACTAGTTCTCTGTTTATTCCTCAAACACATTCAAATACATGTATATGGTGACCAGCCTCTCCAATACTTGCTACATAATGTAATCCAACACCACATGGTGTCTGCTACAGCACCAGTTACCATGGTGACAGACATCTGGTTTGTGTTATTGACCTTATTTGCTTGGAAGGGAAGAAGAAACTGCAAAAACAACCTGTTTTCCTTCTGTAGAGGTAAACATAAGTACTGGGTACAAAAAGACTAGCTATAGGCTTCAAGAAAATGGCAGATACGGTAACAGAATTGAACTCAGAGAGAGAAACAGTAAGTTGGTTTAAGTTTGAGGTTGAAACAACAATAGGGTGTGACTCACTGTTTCCCGCGGGGTAGATGTCTGACGTACTCTCCGATGTCGTGTGAGGCCACCGCCAGAATCTGTGGGTCCTTCGACGTCTCCAACAGTCGAATCAAGATCCTACAGACATTTCTTCAGTAAGTAACTTTTAAAATTGAGAAACCCACATCTACATGCATTGCGATTTAGTACTCTTTCTCACAGATTTACAAATTGAAACTAAGCTGCAAAGAGCAGAACTTTGACCACAGGTTTCTATCTATGCAGCTAAAAGATACAGTAAGATGTTAGCTGAAAGTAGAGTTCGTTTAACAAGCAATTTGGTCACCAACATTTTGCAAGCTAATAAGTTGCCTTCCTCAGGGCATATTAATGATTTAATACTGTAATCTTATAAAAATTCATGTTAACATATCCATAATTTTTGGAAAAATATCTGTTCAACAGCAGATTACCTTAGCCACTGACAGAAAGTGGTGGATTTTAATTGAAATGTCTCACAGTTTTCAAAATGTACTCAGTTGCTTGAGTAACAATTTTCTTGTGTATCTTATTACCTGGATGCCTAAAGTACATATGTAGAATGTCAGATAAAATATCCTGTCCTTGACTACTTCAAAATGTACTCACTTCAACAGCTCATAGTTCTTCTCGTTCAGTCTGCCAGCGTTCTCTCTCCAGAACTTCTCAGACTTGTGCACGGGGCTCCACTCCAGTCGACCTGACCGCACCTCGCTGGAATACTCATCAAAGGAGCTACAGAACACAATAATGCAAAATCATTCACGATTTTGTCACTACCATTTATTTATGTTTTCTTCTCTAGCCTAACAAACTACTGCTCTGTTTATTTGTACTCAAACACATTCATATACTGGTATATGGTGACCAGCCCCTCCAAGTTTGTCCTGCCACTTGCTACATAATGTAATTAAAGCACCACAGGGTGTCTACTACAGCACCAGTTACCATGGTGACAGACGTCTGGTCAGGTCATTGACCTTACAATGTATGTGTTTGCAGGAGAAGAAGAGAGCAAAAACAATACATTTCCTTTTGTGAAGGTAAACATAAGATACATTGAGTCACAGGCAAGCTTAAACCTTGCTGTTTTTCTCAAAGATCTTACCTGAGGTCCTGCATGCTCTCCTGAAGTTTCTCCTCCAAGAACTCGATGTCCTCGGTGATGTCTGGGTCCTCAAACTTCTGGCCCTCCAGGACTTCCAGGTGTTTCAACACCTTACACTGGATCATGGCTAGTGCATGGTCTTTGATACAGTCTCTGTCTGTGGGTTTCTCTAGGAGGTTCTGTTAGGGCAAGTTCAAGGTATCACATGTCTATCACATGATCAGTACATGTACATCACATGGCTAATGCATGGTCTCCAAAACAGTCTGTGGGTTTCTCTAAGAGGTTCTGTACTGTATGGGCAAGTTCAAGGTATCACATGAATCGTGCATGTACGTCACATGTCTATCACATGATCAGTACATGTACATCACATGGCTAATGCATGGCCAAACCAGTCTTGTGGGTTTCTCAAAGAGGTTCTGTAAGGGTAGCACGTTGGCAGAATGTACTACACTTGCGCAAAACCCCAATTTTTCACGTTTTTCGTTGGATTTTTGGTCAATGTTGCATCAGAATTTTGCGTGTTGCAGATGACATTTTTTCCAACATAACATTTGTAAACTATGTACAGACAAAGTGTGACCTTATATACGAGAATACAACCTTATATGAGACGTTCTGCTGAAGTGCTATTCACAATACATTACAGGTTTCACGCAGGTGCAGTATGTTCTGCCGACATGCTTGTATGGGTAAGTTCAAGGTATCATTAGTTGATGATCACATGACTCATGCATGTATGTCACACGTCTATCACATGATCAGTACATGTACATCACATGGCTAATGCATGGTCTCCAAAACAGTCTGTCTGTGGGTTTCTCTAAGAGGTTCTGTACTGTATGGGCAAGTTCAAGGTATCACATGAATCGTGCATGTACGTCACATGTCTATCACATGATCAGTACATGTACATCACATGGCTAATACATGGCCAAAACAGTCTGTGGGTTTCTCAAAGAGGTTCTGTAAGGGTAGCACGTTGGCAGAATGTACTACACTTGCGCAAAACCCCCATTTTTCACGTTTTTCGTTGGATTTTTGGTCAATGTTGCATCAGAATTCTGCGTGTTGCAGACAATATTTTTTCCAACATATCATTTGTAAACTACCATATTTTGTATTATGTGTAATTGAGAACGTCAAATACAACCAATACCTACCCGGAAAGTTGCCAGGACAATACGAGTGACTTTCTCCTTCACTGACTCTCTCAATACGTCGCTCAGGACGGGAATGACATTATATCTAAGGGGGAAAACATAGCATAAAAATCAAGCTATTTCAAGACTGCAAAATACCTCAGGATATATACATGCATGTACTGTTCAAAGATCTTTAGAAAAGAAAAAAGGAAATAGAGTTCATGCTTTTCAACATATCTTCCCAAAAGACCAATTCTAAATCCCTGGACAAGAATACCATATTGGTACATTACTTTTTCAAATTATGAAAAAATACCCAATTTCTCTTAATGGACTGTCCCAACTGTGCATACGGGCTGGACCAAAGGCAGAAAATAGGGGTGCTCACCTGTCCATCTGCATGGCAATCTCTGCGTTGAAAGCCAGCAGCCACATGGAGAATGTAATCTGATACTGCAGCTGGAAACCTATCTTATTGGCTGCTACTACGGTAACCAACCTGTCAACCAATCAGAGAAAAGGCTCAGATTCAAATCTGTCTGTATTTTTCAGTCATTGCTTGTTCATGTTCAAAACCAATGCAAAAGAGACAGTTTTATGTAAAAGAGACTATGTAATCTTATGAGCTGAAGAAAGATGGCGGATGCCAGCTAAAAGCTTCTCATAGACATAACATTACATATTTGCTTCACACAATTTTGTGGAACTGTCCTAAGGGTCCGTGTGTCTGCCATTTGGCGCCACAGGGTGACCTCAATACGACTTTCCCCAACCAAAGTTAGGTACCCATTCACACCTGGGTGGAGTGAGGAAGGTTGTGTTAAGTGCCTTTCCCAAGGACACAACCTCAGGGCGCATGTCTAGACATGTCACGGGTACAACTCGGGATCGAACACAGGTCTCGCCATTTCAAAGTCGAAGGCTCTACCACTATACCACGTGTATACTCACGTGTTGATCCCATCCAGTCTCATGAAGCCCAGACGGTACTCGTTAATTCTCAGCATCATCATCAAACATCCCGCCACAGTCTGTCGGTAGTCGTTGTCCTACAGGGCAAGGGAAATAACAGGAGGTTTGAGGAAAATTCTTGCCTAAGGACTCATTGAAAATAGATGTAAAATAGAGATGATAAAGATATGCGATAATGGTAATAAGCCACGAAGCCACATGAGGTCTCATCCCCCGTGATTGAGCATACTGACAGTCATCTTCGGCGACGAAGGACTACCAAGAATAAGCAACTAGTACCTGTGTTGCATTAATGTATGAGAACCTAAAAGTATGCCAGTGGTCGAAATACTTTTTTGCAATGTTCTGCAATATTGCAAATATATATTTAACCCTATCTAGACCGGGCTTTTTTTGGCTTCGCGGGACCAGGGGGGGGGGTCATTTGGTCCCCCCTCAGAACTCGGGAACGGTATATTCATATGACCACCAAATTTTCAGAGGATGGTGTGCTAGTAAAAACGAATCATAACAACAATTTTGATGTCGTTATGACATGGGTTATTTCCTAAAAACTCAATGGTATACAACATAACTTGAACAAAAAGTGTTAATGATAGAATAGTAGGGTGTACTAAGACGTCAATAGGGTGTCACTTGATGCAGGAAGGCTCTTTATTTTTTTTTTAATTTTATAAAGGCTCTTTAACTTTTCTTAATACATGCTGTACATGTATATGCCTTGAGTAGTGATGAACCTTACCTTAGCAACCAGCTGGTTCTTCAGCCAGGTGAAGAAGTAGGTGAGGTCAGACCCTTCCATCAGCTCACGTCCCCAGCATGCCAGCTTAGCAATGATCCGGGCAGCCTGGGGAGGGGGGCAATATTCAGCACTACATATACTACCAGTGCCGCATATAGAGGTGAGTAGAGCTGAGTACCAGTACACAGTACAGGTACTGTACCGAAAAAATTGATTAGGTATATATAAGTCCAAAATACCTAATCCCTTGTGCCTGAATGATTTTACACTTACATCTAGAGCTTTTGACCAGTTACTCTGGTCTTCCTCATTAGATTGACCCAGTGAGACTTGTCACGTGGCTTCTTTGAAGTGTGACGTCAACACTGGGACAAAGGTATCAGTCTACTGAGGAAGACCAGAGTGACTGGTCGAAAGGTCTAGGTGAGAGAAATTTTTGTGTTGGACCAAAACTTTTAACTTTAAACAATCAACTAGCAACACAGATGAACTTTGATGATGATTTTACACTCATTTGTGACCTAAGAGAAATAAATAGCTGGTTTCCCATGGCTCCCAAAGTAAGGACTGTGTGTTTGTGTTACATTTATTTGTTAGTGTGAAGAGAGAATAGAGTTAGCCACACCACTGCAACCAGCAAGAATGAGCAGGTCTGGGAATCAAACAGAATCTGATCATTAGTCTAATTAGATACTAGTAGTGAAAGACAAAAACTTCCACTTTCAAATGTTTCCTAATAAGGGCTTGTTTGAGACCATAAGGCATGTCTACGTGTATGTATAGTTTTGCATGTTTAGAGGTATATATATCAAGTTATGGTATGTCATATTTGGCAACCTTTTGAAATTATAACAATTAAAGTTTAAAATAACAGTGCATATTTGAAAAACTATGAAAATACCCACTTTTTGAATTTTACATGTAAATCTTGTCTAAATTCAGCATTTTGAGGATTTTCACTTTAAGACTTTGAAGTGTTGCATACAATTTACAATGGTCAAAGGAGCGCAGCGAATTTTGAAGTCATTTTGTAGCTTGAACTTCGACCTGGCCCTGAGCCACCAACAGGCCCTCTTGCTTTATCACCATGGCAACCTCATCGCAAGCTGCTCCCGTCAGGAATGAGGGAATGAGGGAGAGCCCAGAGAAGGACAGCTATAGGAGCACCCAACATGCCAGTTGGCACCCGACTAACCTGGAACACTGTGAAATGGTCTGGTCTACCCAGCATGCTCAGGAATTGGGACCAGGGCACCTGGGGCTGGAAGTTACCATGGAGACAGGTTGCCATGGTTACCATGCTAGAGTTGGTTGCCATGGTTACATGGCCACATGTACCATCATTGGTTTTCATGTTACTGTGTGTGAGTGTGACTGGAAGTTACCATGGAGACAGGTTGCCATGGTTACTATGGTTGTGTTGGTTGCCATGGTTACTATGGTTGTGTTGGTTGCCATGGTTACTATGGTTGTGTTGGTTGCCATGGTTACTAAGCTTCTTGTTGTCATAGTTACACAGTTTTATGTACCATGACGCATTTTTATAGAAGAAACAACTTTGTCTAGTCAAATCTAGTAAGTTAGCAAAGCAAAACAAACCAGACCAGTTATGATGAGTTGTCATTGATCACCAATAGGTTATGGTTAACATTACTAACCTGGTTAATGACAAACTGGTCCTGTCTGTTCAGCATGTTGATGAACTGAGACCAGGGCGCAGTCTTCATTTTCTTGGCATAGTCAAAGAACAAGTTCACTCGATCATGCTTCTCCTGAAAAAAAGGCAACATTATTTCTAACTCCTAAAACCATAATTTTTACCTTCACGCATGGTAACAAAAACTGCTACTTAGTTTATTCTTCCTAAAACACATTCATAGGTCACAGCCCCTTCAACTCTGTCCAGCCACTTGCTACATAATGTAAATCCAACACCCAATGGTGTCTGCTACAGTACCAGTTACCTCGTCTCATTTTCCATGGGTGATACCATTTGTATAAAGGGGTGTTCTAACCTGTAGCATGTCATCCACCATAGTCAGGATGTATTGCACAGTCTGGTCCTTGGAAATCTTCCCCATCAGGTTTTGGAATGTCTTCACTGCCTAAAGGATGAGAAAAAAACGAAAAGAACCATGGTTAGTCTCAGAGCTCAGCATCCCTGAGTGTCTAGATGGGTTCAAACCCCAGTCAAGTCATATGCGTGCATAGTCCAGTGGTAAGCGATCCTGCCTCTGGACTAAGAGGTTGGGAGTTCGAATCCCGGCTGATGTCGCTCACCCGACATGCGCGCTACTGTAAAGGGTCGCAGTCCTTCGGACGGGATGTTAAGCTGTGGTCCACTGTTCATTGTGCTTATCAAAAAGAGCTAGGGGAATTTCCCCGGTACAATGAACCTGTAAATACTGTACATAGCGTCTGTCTTCTCTGTCACGACCAGTGGAAAATTAGCTCTTCAGTGAGCTAAACTGGTTCGAGATCACTTTCTTTCTTTCTTTCTATGCTTAGTTCTAAATTGAGACCAAACTGACTTTCATCTTTTATCATTTAGGGCTGAACGGTATGAGACTGTACAAAAGCTCCTCCTACCTGCATGCCCTTGTCCTGCAGCACCTTCTCCCTGTTCTCAGCAGACACGTTGTCGAACTCTCGGATGAACTGAAAGTCTTCTTGTGAGATCATCTGGCCCCTGAGGAGAGTTGAGTTAACATTTTGAAACATCCCTTTCCTTTTTCTTTATATTCTTGTGACTAAACCAATAAAAAAAGGTTGGGAATTGGACTCAAGTTGATCGTACCAACTTTGTCAATTCTGTTGTGTCATCATTGGAAACCATTTATGTGTCAGTCATGTTGTGAGGCAACCCTCTTCAAGGAGACCACCTGTCCAAGGTGACCACTTGTTTTCGGTCCCCTGGGTGGCTGGCTTGGACAGGTTTTTTTTTTTTTAACGGAGTAGTTCAATGCAAGGCCTATAGGACCACTTCTCGGCATTGAACTAGAAATATGAGAGAAACATGGCTATGTCAAGAGATGGCGGTGAATGTTTGATTTGAAAGCCTGTAGATTGTAGGTTGGTGGGAAACACTTGTCAGGGAGGGAATTCCAAAGCTTGGCCGTACGGGGAAAGAAACTGTCACAGTAAAAAGATTTCGAACAAGGTATTTGGACAGTGAAGTTGTGTGAGCTAGTGGAGAACCTAGTGGAACGCTTAATAATTCTGAGTGGTGGAACTAGTTGGGTGAGTTCTGCAGAGCAATGACCATGAAAATATCTGTAAAAGAGGGATAGAGAGGCAACATTTTGTCTAACTTGTATTGTCTTTAAGGAATAGTTTGTACTGACTGTAGATAGGACTGCCAGTTGACCCTGTGTGCTCGGACGTCCGCAGCACGCTGGGATAGCGGGTCGGTAGCGATGATGAACCCCCCCGCGCCCTTGAACTCTTCCGCACGATCCAGCTTGGCCAATGATGGCACACCTTCCAGAGACTGGTACGATGACATTGTGTTCTGTCTGGACATGAACAAAATAAATACATGATAAACATTGTAGGGAGTCAATAGGCAATAAGAACAAGCCACAAAGGGGTTGTGTGGCGCAATCGGTAGTGCGTTCATGTACATGTACGTACATGTACGTACATGTACAAAACTGGTGTATTACGCCTTAAGGCGGTTTACCGGTTATGTGAAACAAACAAAAAAAGAAATGAATTGTGGTTTATTATTCATAATTTGATAGGTGGAATTTAATAAATTCCACCTATCAAATTATACAACACTGGTGTTTTCCTCATGGAAAGTACACAAATTATTTTTGAAAATATTTAATTTTAAAAATGTATTGCACTGACATCGTCCAAGGAGATTTAACATATTAAATAAATTACAAATATTTGATTTTTAACCTCCTTGCTTCATCCACATGCATAATATTTAATTTACCCTGGCTTATCAATCATGTCAGTATACAAATATTTTATGATATACAGATGTATTTAGGTTTTAAGAGGATTAGTACTGAGAAACACAATAATTTTTAGAAATTACTTAGTATTTTGTCTAGAGTAACTAAAAATTATTTTATGTTACGCCCCCCCCTCCCTCCGGGTTTATCTTCCTGGATTCTTTACAAAAATTCATAGATTTTTTACATAAATCTGACGTGAAATTTTCAACAACTAAAATATAAATACTTTGTTCTAACTACCAGTTAGTAATGAATCGATATAACTGTGTAAAAAGCGGGAAAACAAACCTTTTTCGTCGTCTGTCTTCCACAAAATCCAGAAATCAGACCTGAGGTCACGTCTGGTCACGTCAGGGTCATATGACAAAAAGTCTCGCGAGAATAAACGTGATTTCAAAACCATCTTTTTAGGGACTGTACATTTTTAACTCAATATGGTCTGAAAGTGTCCAAAATCCGGCATTATGACACATTATTTACGGAATATTAACCGCTTCTAAATACTACCGTAAGGTTAACTTTATACTTTATACAATGTAATTTCATTTTGCATCATTTTCATTGCTACTGCAGACATTTTACCAAAATGGAAGGTATACATAATGTTTACTCCCGAAAACCGAGCAAAGCCATATATGGAAATACTTTTAGATGATTCCAAACGGGGGTGTATACTTTCATTTAGAATACTATAAATCAGTAGAACTGAATAAAACTGATTTATATCTGTATAGATATTACTAATATATTTCTATAATTGTGAAAAAACATATTTTCTTTCAAATTACAATAACATTTGGTTATTTAAAATAATCTAAAATTACTGTCCTCCCCAAACTTTTGGTATCGCCCAGGAAGAACAAACAAAATGGCGGCAAACGATGAGGTGGGTTGTTGTTTTGATCGGTCAATTTTACGTGCATTATTCCACGTCAAATCGGTCAAGATCTTCTCCACTATTTTGTTAAAATGTTGCCTAAAACTATGAAGTTTCGTCTGGTATATTTGCCGCTTCGCAATGTTGATGTGAATTTTGTGACGAAAGGCAAGAAAAAATTTGGAAAAAATGTCGTCACGATCACGTTTGGGCCTTTCTTGTGGTATTGTGTTCACACTTGCCTTTTTAAAACGTTGTCGAGCTACAAACGAGAGATAATTTCGTGCTGTACAACTAGTTGTTGAGGAATTTTAGGCTGATCAGACGTTAGATACTGAGTTGAACTAGCGAAAAATAACGTATACTACTATTTTGCATAACAAAATACCATCTACAACTGCTGACTCGCACACATGCACGCAGTCACATGCACACACACTCACAGAAAATATGTGCGTACGCACACACACACATGCGCGCATATACACATATACACACACCCATTTAGACACACAGAAAATTATGCACACCTTCAGTATGCACACACACACATGCACACATTCATATATGTACTATAGGAGGGCCTGCATGGGGGGGGGGGTAGTGATTACGAATTACGCAAAATTTTCGCTGCCGATTACGAATAACGTTAAAGTCTCAGAGCTGATTACCACTTAACGATTTGCGGGTAATGTCCTATTACGAGTTTCGTTAAGTTTTCTGGCGGCTGCCTACGAATTACGAAGTCCAAAAAGGCCTGATTTTTACGCCTTATGAAAAAGGGCATGCAGGCCCTCCTATAGATGTTCAGTGAACACACATTGACACAGATGCACATGCACACTTTATACGCATAGATGTACAATAAACACGCATACACACAGACACTCATGCACACTTTCTTACACGTAGATGTATAGTGAACACGTACGCAGACACGCATGCATACGCACATTGTACACACACACACGCACACACGCATGCACACGCACACGCATGCTTTATCCAGTGGCTCTATGTGCTATTTTTCATTTGCTTTTTGACTTGTTTTACATTTTAGTCAATAAGTTATTCTCATTAACAGCCTATAACAGGTGTCATATTTTGCTAACATGAACAGGTGTCGTAATTTGTCAATATTGGCCATATTAATGTGTTCTTCCTTAAAATTAATCTTACTCCTTTTTTAAGTTTTGTTGTTTTGTTTATTTATTTGCTTTGTTTATTTATTTGTTGATTTGCTTTGAATTTGTGTGTAAGCAACTTGCCGTGGTTTCATTTCAGAGAGAAGGGTGTGATCACATGACCGAACCCTACCAATCAGAAAACACAGGACAAACCATCCCCAAATCACTTGACCAGTCAGGACCCACAGATGAAACTCAGTACCAGTCAGTTGACCAATCAGAAGCAAGCTTTCAGAAGGGATTAGATTTGCATGTAAATCGACCGTTAAATCCGATAGACGAGATTAGCGCTGACGACGCTGAAGTATCACTAGCGATGTCTCTGTCCGAGCAGAACAGGCCCGGCTCCTCTCAGCCAATCAGAGACCGCCGTACACCAAAGGCGAGGAACGTTAGCGGGTCGAGCCAGCACGATACGAGCGGGAATAAATCGGACAGCGGCTCGGGGTCCGGAGCTCGCCACAAGAGATGGATGCGGCCGGGCATTCCGCTGAAAGTCGGCGCAAAGATGGAGGCCATGGACTACTTGAAGAAATGGTAACACATATACAAGTTATTTTGTTTACCAAAAGAAAACATACTGTTTTTGCTCTGTTCTCCAAACAAATAAGGCCAATGACCTGAACCAGGTGTCTGTCACCATGGTAACTGATGTTTGGTTACATTATGTTGCAGTTTTATAGCAGGAGGGATTTAGACTCTTGTCTGACCATATATATGAATGTGTTTGAGTAAGACCATATGTGAAGGTAAACATTATGCTTAGCAAAATATCACTATTTTCAGGTACCCAGCCAAAATTGAGGAGGTTGATTATGAGGAGCGAGAGATTTTGGTGCATTTTGAGGGCTGGAACCATCGCTACGACGAGTGGCTCACCTTCGATAGCGACCGGATCAGACCAGTGGATCGTCTCACAACACGGAAGGAAGGACCTATCAAAATACCAGCTGTAAGTCAGAAATATTAAACTTACTTAGTAGCGTGCATAGTTCAGTGGTTAGCGATCCTGCCTCTGGACTAAGAGGTTGGGAGTTCGAATCCCGGCTGTGTCGCTGACCCGACATGCACGCTACTGTTTAGGATCGCAGTCCTTAGGACGGGACGTTAAGCCGTGGACCACTGTTCATTCAAATTTGCTTACTTATAATTTTTATATGTATCCTCTTTGAGTGTGACTTGTTTTTGTTTGTATGTCATGAATATGGAAATACGTTATGAAGCAAGTTTAAACTGTAATGTCCAACACAGGAAAATGGACTCACCCAAATTTTCAACTGTACAACTCCTGTCTTTGTCAAGGAATGAACAATCCACCTCTTCCGTGACGTCACACAGATAACACGTGACTCCGTGAGCAGTGGATCATAGGTTGCAGAAAGTCTGTGGCGCCCCCCGTCTCTGTTGAGGGATGGCTGTAATGCCCTGATGTAGATGGCCTCTTTAATCCCTCGTGCAAAGAAATCCAGCTCTGAGTCCAAGGTTCTTACTTTGTCCAGTGAGACTGAGTGTCCAGGCGATTCTATATGGAAATACATATATTAAAAAGTCATGTTGCTGTTGCTGTGAAATTTGATATCCCTAGAAATGAAGTTTATATTTGAGAGGTTTTGACTTGTTTTTTTTTTTATTCTTGTCATTGTTACAGCAATACAAAGTTGGAGATGAAGTTCTGGCCAGGTGGACCGACTGCAAATATTACCCTGCAAAGATCCTAGAAGTTAGAGTAGATGGTGAGTGTGTTGTGGAAGTTGCAAGAAATAAAAAAATCATACATAAAACAAAACCTCCATGTATACACGGAGGTAAATATATGAAAAATTGTAAGTATGTAGCAGCATAGCAAAGTCAATATTTCTGGTGGTTTGTTATGATTTAAAATGTATAATGTATAATGTAGGGTAGTACCATTTTTGTAATCAGATACTTTATTCAAATGGTGTTTAGAAAATTGTAGACGAAACTTCACATCGTTTTAAAGTACATTTTTGTTTGAGGCTTATTTTATTTACTAGTATTCATTTGGAATTGCGACAAATATGAATATGAGGGCTATATGAACATTGTATTAATATTTCAGTGTAGGCAAGATAATAGTCACTTGATAAGCTGAAATAAAAAAAAAAGACATAATCTATACATTGTTTTTAATGATGGATATGTATATTTATATTAAGTAACAGGTAGATATAGAATCCAAAGAGAACAAAATGTATTTATAGCATTGTCTCAACATATTTGACACATGCTTTGAATAAGTCATTGTTTTGGAGCAATGCCAGTGTCTACTATTGATTCTAACCTCAATCAATAAATGTTTCGACTCAACTAAAATATTTCCTCCAAAATTGCTCCAATCCCACCACAAAAAAATTACTGTGAAAAAATAACTGAGTGGGAAAAAAATTGTTGGGAAAAATTTCCCATGAGCACTTGTGGCTAGACCTTTGACCTCTAACCCCTGACCTTTAACCCTTGGCTTCCCCCTCCCAGCCTCCTATAGGGTTCATTTCTATGATGGGATTGACAAGACAGTGAAAGGCATCAATGTAAGACCCATCCCAGATGATATGAAGGGACAGGTACGTCTGAAATCTTTTATGTTTTCTCTTTTAGCAAGGTGTATTCTGAAGGTAAACTTTATGTACACAGAAACATAATTTAAAGACTTAGAAATAGAAGTAAAGTCAGGTCAGGGCTCGAAATTAACATTGTCCCAGTGTCAAATGACACTAAATTTTCAGCTTGGGACAATTCAAATTACGTTTCGGGACAATTTTGGGGCAATTGGAAAATTCTAAGACCATCCACGTCATTTGGGAACGCGATCCATCCATCCTGCTGCAGACTGCTGGCAGCCTATAAATATATAATACTCTGACAAACATTTAAATTTGACCAATCAGGGATTCCAAATATCAGGGACGGTGCCACGCCCATGATATTATCATGTATTTCCCTACATTTACTAATAAAGTGGACTTCAAGTTGTACAAATTCAGTTGTTGTTTTCTTATTTTTGTCATCAACTTATTTCCTGAAAAGCAGGCTGGGACAGTCCATCTTCAGTTCGGGACAATTGAAATCTATGTTCGGGACAATTCTGGGACAATAGTGAAAAAAGTTAATTTCGAGGCCTGCAGGTGCATCATAGAAGATTGCTAGCCACAATTTTCACATGATAGATTATTGCAAGCATTATTTTACAGGGAAGCTATACTTTGCAAATATAGAAAAGAGAATTTTAACTTTTTGGAAAAGAAAACAATCAGGTGCATCAGTGAAGATAGCATTAGCCTTGATCCTTTTACATGCACTCTTACTGCAAGAATTGGAAGCTTTACTTTGAAAATGTAGAACAATGTATTTTAAACTGAAAAAAAATCATAAGGTAGAAAGCTATGTTTTACATGAAATGTTTATAGGAATGTATTTTAAGCTCTTTCAAGAAAAATTGGGACCATAACTATTAAGATAGCTATGTTTGGACTACAGAGTGGAGTCATGTATTCTAGTACAAGCCTGTTTTTAGTAATTGTGGACCCATTGAAAATGTGTTGAACTGAACCTAAACCTCTGGACTTGAATCCGGACCTGAACCTAAATATGGGTGCACAGCACTATATGTGATTTTAATACGTTTAATCCTATAGATAAATTCAACTACATTCTCAGGCGAGATAACCAATACAGTGTTCAAATAGGAAAATTTCATTAAAGAATGTTTCGATCTTAGAGACCACATGTTAGAGAATAGTTAAACCTTCATTGTTACAGCATACATATACTCTGTACGTAAGATGACGTTATCCACACATGTATTTAGCTTTGTTAGATCTTTAGTTGTAGAAGACCATACAAAAGTCACTGTACTTTTTTGTTGTGTCAATAAAGAATCTATGTAACCAGTGTATGTCTGGTATCTTCCCCAGGATTTTGCAGCGCTTGCCCAGGCCCAGAACTCGGGGCCAGGTACTGGGAAGGGCCGTCCGTCCAGTAAGGACCGTAGTCGTAGTAGTAGCAGCGGGAGTCGCCCCAGCAGCCGCGAGCAACGACACAGGCAGAGCGACGAGTCATCAGATGGTAACAATTATTTGTTTGTTTGTTTGCTTTATATCACAATACACAAAACATATTGTTTTTGCTCTGTTAACTCTTCTTTAAAGAAATAAATAAGGTCAATGACCAGAACCAGATGTCTGTCACCATGGTAACTGATGTTGGGTTACATCATGTTGCAATTTTGTAGCAGGAGGGATTTAGACTCTTGTCTGACCATATGTATGAATGTATCCTACCACCTAGAAGACAGCGGCCCTACCACCAAGAAGAGACGTGCGTCGTCTTCCCCGAAAGGGTCCTTCCAAGAAAAGCGTGCACGACTGGACAAACTGGCGGGCAAACTGTCGGCGCTGTCTAAGGCCAGAGGTCACACCTCACGTGCAGGTACGAATTTGAACCTTGAACTGTTAAACTTTGTAAGGCCACACCAACTTAATTCTATGGATGAGATCCTCCGAAAAGTGCGCGCAGGCGAATAAAAAATAAATTCTGGCCAAAAATAAAAATGCTACTAAACCACAGGAATACAAAGCTGGTATTGTTAATTTGCGGCAGTACATAGCGACGTTTACGACAAGCCGGCACATGCTGGCTTTTGGCGGAATTTATGAATAGGCACTGTACGTATGTACTGAGTTCTTGAGTCGTGGAGCTTTGGTAGCCTGGGTGCCATCCTCCAGAGTTACCATCTCCATATTGTCACTAACCACCATGGACTACCAAGGCCTAGAGCTAGGCCAGAGCCTCGGAGGACGTGATCTAACCACTGAAACTCTACCCCTAATGAAAAGTATCTCTCTGTACAACAGATGAACACATAGCGACCACCAGGACTTCTATGATGGGAACTACCACCATCAAGACCAAGATTGCAACTGGCAAGCCAACGAAAAAGGTAACAGTCACACATTCAGTCCTTGTGGCATAGGAAGAATTTAAACCTTGAGCCACAACTGAAAAATGAAGATGTCCAAAAACACAGGTAGAAAGCTTGTGTTGCAAAGTTCAAATGGTTTTATGTCAGTTATATGTCACGCGCAAGATGTAGAAAACCTTACGAAAGTTTTGTACTTTGTCAAGGATGGTATCAAAGTTTTTTTTTTTATGTTTACTGAAGGAAAACATATTGTTTTTGCTCTGTTTCTTCTTCTTCTTCTGTTCCAAACACCAACCTCTGACCTGGTCAATGACCAGATTGTCTCTCACCATGGTTACTACTACTAGTGTTGGGTTACATAATGTTGCAATTTCATAGTAGGAGGGATTTAGACTCTTGTCACTATATATACTGTATGTATGATGTGTTTGAGTAAGAATTAACAGAGCAGACCATATGCGAAGGTAAACATTATGCATTTGCTTTGCAAATGTTACCTTTCTAATTAATTTTTATGTTTGAAGCCTCAAGCCAGTAACAACTCCAGTACAGAGTCGGAAACGGAGACGGGACTCCATGGCCAATCAGTGATCTCCAGTCTTCTGGCTGCCCCCTCGCCCTTCCACAGCGAGGGCGTGAGTCTTCCGACAACCATGAACCCTGAAACCATGACAACCTCCATTCTACAGACATCTCCGCAGCTGTTCAAGTGAGTACACAGGGCTTACTGTAGAATATCACTGGTACTTACCGTTTTCCTGTTCCCAGGATGCATTGCAACTGGGGGGTAAAATCTCCCAGGTTGCATGGCACAGGAAGGTATCCTGTTTTTTTTTTTTTTAGTGTGTTTTGAGGTGTTGGGGTATTTTGAGCTCAACAGTAGTTGCCTTACTATAGTTCAAATCTCAACAAGAGAATGAAAATTTTTTTGTGTTCTTTTTAACATGGAACAACGTTACAGTCACTGTGGTATATATAACACTATACATTCTGCCAATCGAAAAGGAGACTATACGCTATATATTTCTTTTAAAGGATTTTGAGCCCTGGTAGAGGATTCCATACCTCTGTTAGTCTGAAAGGGTAGAAAATATGTGCAAAATACACCAAGAAGAAATTCTGTCTTTTTAAAAATATATGTATAAGTCCAACAACAAATATTGTCCAAAATGTTGAATGTGAAAACCCACTGGTTACAGAATTAAGAGTCTTGAACTTGAAGTTTTAATGCTGTTGCAATTGTTCTTCAATAAAAGTTTTATTGATTTTTTTTGCAGTCCGCAACTGCCCTTCACCATGCCGCATCCCATGATGCCGCTGTCCAGCCAAGGCCCCCTACCCCTCCACCAGACTCCGCCTGCTACCCCGCCCATATTTGGGCAGCCCCCGTTTCTGGGTCCATCCGGCCAACCGCCATTCAGCGCTGGGACGTCGTTTGGTATGGGCCAGTTACCACCGGTTTCTGTTACTATGGGTATGGGTCTTCCTACTGGTCCACATGCCTTACTACCTCCGCATACCACCGGTACGTAATACTGTTTGTTTGTGTGTTTGTTTTGCATAATCGTAAACTGCCTTCAGGCATATTACACCAGTTTTGTATGCTGCATAAGAATGGAGTATTCTAGCCTGCTGGAAATTTGGAGGCCTGCTTCCCTGAGAAAATTTTGAAATCTTAACCGTCTGAAATGCTATTTCCTGCAGTTGGGGGGGGGGAATTTTGCTGGTAGGCTAAGGTTGAATGACATCTCTTACCCATAAGGCCACACCAAGTAAATTTTATGGATGACGTCCTTTGGAGACCCTAAATCTAATGCGAGAGGGCGAAAAAAAAACAAAAAGGGCCCTAAAAAACAAGATGCCTAGATTAGAAATATACTAAGAGACGACAAATGTTAGGACACAAATTGAATGAGGTGACACAGTGTAACAAGCAAGAAGTCTTTTATTCATCATCAAAACAGCAATAAATCAGGTGGAACAGTGTACAGTGAAAAATTTTCTGTTATTGACAGGATGGTCCTGTCAATAGACACTTTCTTCGCATTACGGGTTTCACGTCAATCTGATGATTTTTGGCACTGTCGTGACTCTTTGGTCATAGTAACAGGAAGCGGAATTTCTTGTGTTTTTTTTCTAGGAACAGGCCAAAATCAATGCGCGCACGGACATCATCCATAAAATTTACTTGGTGTGGCCTAACTTCAAATGCAGATTTTTTCGATATACAGGAGTGCATATTATACTCAGTGACGTTGTTTTAGAGATCTCCTTTGATGCATTTTTTTCAGGTTGGCGGATTAATAAATATGACTTGGTGGACTTGTATTAAAATTGTGCAATATTATAACATTTACTTTCTGTAGATACTACTGTTACAAGAGTTAATATCAAGAAGTTTGTGTTTGGTTTTGTTACTGGCTCCAGCATGATGTTGCAGTACTCATATGAAATGATAGGAGGTGCTTGTGATAAGTCAAGCCATCATGCTATAGTAGTTGCTGACATAGCTACATGTAGTTATGTGAATCTTGAAGATAAAGAATAAAACCAAGATTTTTTTAGATGATGCACTTTTTTCTAAAAGAATTTGCACCCTATGTAGAAATCCTTACTCAGTAGACTCGGGCTCCATATATAATTATTTACTTCTACATGTATTTCTACTCTGTTACACTAACTACACATACATGTAGATTGACACCCAGGCTATCTCCTAATAATATTCTTTTAAATCCCAAAACCCACTCATGCAGAAAGTGGGACTTTTCATTAATATCTACTGACTTCAAAGAAGAAATGAAACCTTATAGGATTAATTGCAAATATGACACTAGTACTTATAGTTCAGACTGTAGTTGTATGTATCTAAATTACAACACGGAGTATTCCGTATCGCCCGAGGTATCGGCCCGACCGCGGGTTGGATCGCCCGCAGGCGATCCGACTCACGGGAGGGCCGGGACCGAGGGCGATGCGGAATACCCCGTGTTGTATTTTATTTATATCATACCCACCCAAGAAAACGCGCCTTTCAATGCAATATGAGCCAAAAGTTGGTGCCCCTAAACCCTCAAATGCAACAACATCAATTCCAACGTCCGGATTCTGTATTCAAATTTTCGAAAGGGGCACACGCGGTTAGGGCGAAACGCGTTCGAATCGTTTTATGGAAGCCATGGAAGCGTTCGATAACGGGTTCCGGACCGGGCCGTACCGTAAAGTACGGCCCGGTCCGGAACCCGTTATCGAATGTTATCGCGGCCTGGGTATGATATAAACTCTGTTATTTTACTTTATGTTGATCAAGCTCAGCATAATTTTGTAAATAACTGCTATTAATTATAATAATTGAATTGTTATGATAGTTAAAGTTATAGTTCTTATAAAGATGCAATTACTGTCAGGTAAAGTTAGATAAAAGCAGCTGGAAATACAGAAAACATGTGTACATGTATGCAGCTGCATGTATGTGAGGAAGGGACTTGGCTGTTTGCTGGGAAACAATGGCCTCTCTTCCCTCCCTCCGCTGTAGGGATGCTGTCTCACAGCGGGCTCTCTCCACCAGACACCCCCGAGGGACACCAAAGCGCCCTCATGCGAATGCTGAAGGCATCGCAGGCCCAGGCGCAGGGATACATGCCTGTCACCACTGCGATGGGGCATCCGTATTACCCCCTTTCCATGCCGGGATTCATGCCCAATCCGCATGAAGGTGCTTTGTTGTTGTGTGTTTGGGCCGTACCAATTTATTTCTTTGCTTCTCGGACATTGGTAGAAAAATGCAAGATGAAAACACAGGGCTAGTAATATATGAGCAGTAATATATTATCTAATCCGAGAACCAACAAATTAAATTGGCGTGGCCAAGAATAACCTCTTGTCTAATGATATTTCTCTTCAATTGCATGCAAACCGCCCCTTATTTCGCAGTGGACGAGTCCAAACGTTCCACTGCTCTGGAAAGAAAATTGGGCCGGACTACTAATAAGCGGGGGGGTGGTACATAGATTTTTTGTGAGGAAAAAATATGCTGCATTTCGGAAGCAGCCATTTTTGACAAGAGGGGTGTCCAGTGTGGTGCATTGAAGAGAGATCATTGTTTAGATATGCAGTTTTTCGTATGATCACTACACCATTGTGTTAGCATGAGTTTTTAATCCGTCACTACATTCCATGTTGCATCTTCAAAAAATGCATTTGTTTGCTACTTTGCTTGTCAACCTGTCCTTCTAAGCCACTTCAGAAAGCCACCCCTGCCTTTTAGTGGAACATTCCTGCTTTCTTGAAATATCTCTAAAACCAGTCCTTTATGTATTTGGATGGTTGAAAGTGTGTTTAGATTTCCTTTTCTTAGCCTAACTTGGTTGAAATTGTTTTATTAGTGGCATCATTAAGCATCAAATTTACAACAAAAAAACACTGCTTGCACCCCTGCAAATGCAAGACTAGTGGTACGATCCAACTGTCACGCCCACTTTAAAACTAACCTGTCGCACCACCTGGTATTTATGCCCTAAAGCTACATCTATATTACCTGTCTGCTACTCGGAAAACTGTCTGCTACCATATCTAGGAAGTGTGGACAACTATAGGTGAATTGTCAACTCCATGTTGGTTTCTATAAAATGTCTTTCCTAAATGTACTTTCCTATATGCACTGTTAGATTTTAGCAAGGCTTTTGATTCTTGTTTGCTTGGCATTTTCTTTTTCTTGTGGTAATGTTTACTGTAATTAGAAAAGAGGTGCTGTATTGTACATGTTTTGTACATTACAACTACCTTGTCTGTAATGTTAAATTGCAGTTTAGTTAACGGTAGCGTGCCGTTTTGTGAAAGTTGTCAGTTTTGTTTTGAAATGTTACATTTCAGTCACAGTAAAATACATGCATGCTAGTCAAACAGTATATGCTAAACTTAGCGTTACCAAAATCATTGCTCACTAATTTTGGTACAAATTAAGCATTTAGTATCCGATTTTAGCATATTCTACTCATTGTAGCTGTAGTAAAAAATAAATGCACAAATTATCTTTAAAAAAATTATTATTAAGTCCCGATGCTTCCTATTGTACAATAATAAGGCCACACCAATTTAATTTGTTGGTTCTCTGATTCACCTCTTCGTTTTTTTCTGATTTGCAAAAAAAAAAATTTGATTCTGGTCCTGAATCAACTGAAAAATGCTCATGTTTTGCCCCCCAACAGTTGAGGAAAGTCCTTTTCTTCCTAGTTGTTACAGTTTTTCCATCTATCAATGCAGTGGTTTGATTAAAAGTTCAAAATTCAACGTTTAAATTTTAACCCAGCCTTTTGTGTTGACTTCATGGCTCATTTTGTAGCATTTAAGCCTATAATAGGATGCCTAGACCTGTTTTTATTTTTTTGGCCCTGTCGCTTCATACTTTTTCTGAAAAAATCCGAGAACCAACAAATGAAATTGGTGTGGCCTAAGGTTCAGAAAAAATACTTGTCAATGCTTAACCTTCTTGCTGCTTTGCGCTCACCCATGCATCCTGACTTTGCCTTCTTTGCAGCACAAGCTGGGTGAAAGAGGGTTAAACAAGTAGAGAGTCTTCAAATTCTTCCTGACGATGCTTTACTGTTTCATGCATGGATGTTGTGTGTTTTTTAGTCCTGTTTGTTTCCCATTCATCCAAATACTGTTTCCCATCCAATGTTATTATTAAAACCTGTATATTTCTCGATGAAAATGCATGCAAAAGTAGTACACTCCTTGTTTAAATGGAGTTCACTTTTCTTGTAAAAAAAAAATAATAAAATGTATCTACTAGATACTAGAAACTTAAACGTGTCCCCCTTGCAGGCCTGATGAGTATGGCACCGACGTCCCAGAGTCTACATCTTCGCTCCGCGCACGGTACGCGCCCGCGTCCGGCCACGCGGCGAGCACGACAAACCCGCAACAAGAACCGACTTTCGTCCTCCAAGACTAAACAGTCGCAATCCGCCCCTCCTATGGGTGGTCAGGACGCACTGACCAGTCTGCTACAAGGATCACCCATGCATGCGGCGGGCGGGGCCGCCATGGCAACCGTTGCCATGTCAAGGGGACAGCTGCAGATCCCCCACAGGAAGAGAGGTTTTGGGATGAGTCAGCGAGATCGGGTAGGTTTGGACAACGGGTAAACTTTTGCTTGGAATTTAGTTTACTCTAAGTTATTTTTATAGATATTGATATTTTAATTATAGGTACATGTATCAAACTTTGCTCTCCTAACCTTTATCGCTAATATCGAGTTTTAGAATGGTGACAAAAACTTTTCAGGTTTTTAAGTTTACTAAATTATTATCCCTGGCCCTTAAGATGGTCTCTTTGTCTTGAAATGTCATGTAAAAATAAAACCATTTTGCCATTAAATTTTTCTACTCCTTGGTTGCCTTATATGGTGTTATCTTTGTTTTCCTGAACACTTTTCTGGTCTCTAATTTCCTAATATGGGGTTATTTTTTTTCCTGAACAGTCCAAGAAGCACAGCAGAGAACCATGTAAGTATAAAAGAATTTCAAAGATGTTGATAAAAGTACATTTATTTTATAAAGTGTACTATTTAAGAAACAGGCCATAACAATCAGTAGTGTTCTCACCAAATTCTTTGACAGCATGTAATTGTTAGTATTTAGTAATTTATTAATTTAAATTTTTTTTTTGTACAGGGTTCATATTTTGTACTCAATACATGGCTGGTACTAGTAAACATAAATGCTTGCACCACTCCAAATTTTCCTGCACTAAGGCCACACCAATTTAATTTCTTGGTTAACGGATTCGCCCGCTTTATTTTTTTTCTTATTTGCAAATAAAAAATTCAGAATCAACTGCAAAATGCTCATATTTTGCCCTGAACAGTTGAAAACCGTCCTTTTCTTCCTGGTTGTTACAGTTATTCCATCTTTCAATGCAGTGGTACCATTAAAAGTTCAAAATTCATAGTTCAAATTTTGAACCAGCCTGGTGTGTTAACTTCATGGCTCGTATCGCACCATTTTGGTCCATAATAGGATGCCTAGGCCTGATTTTATTTTTTCGTCCGCCCACATTATTTTTGTAGAAAAATTTGTTTTTTCTAGAAAAAAACAAGAAATTAAATTGGTGTGGCCTAACCTTCATATGGTATTTTGAGCCCTGTAGCTATCTAACCAAGGTAACCATCCATACAATTCTAGTGGTGGGGAACGCACCTAAAGACATGGACGTGGATTTTGACCATAACAAGTACAAGTGTCCAGTTGCTGGCTGTGGCAAGGCCTTCCGCAAAGAGATGGGACTTCTCTGTCACAAGAAACACTACCACGACAAGAACAAGGTATGTGCTTACTACTGTAGGATAGTTGACTTGGGATCTAAAGATCCTGGGTTCGAATCCCTGGGTTCGAATCCTCGGTTGTGACAAGGCCTTCCGCAAAGAGATGGGACTTCTTTGTCACAAGAAACACTACCACGACAAGAACAAGGTTTGTGCTTACGAGGATAGTTGACTCAGAATCTGAAGGTCCTGGGTTCGAATCCCTAGCATGCAGGTCCCAATGTTGTGCCCTTGGGAAAAGCACTATTGGTGAAATGCCATGAATTTTTGCACTCCACTCAAAAACAAGTACCTAGCTTCAGTTAGGGACATCCTCTCATGAGTAGGGCCACACCTCAAGCATGTTGAACTACACTTATCAAAAAAAATAGGGGTCACCAACACTATAGTTACTGGTAATCCCCAAGACTTTTTTCAACAATGATGTGTTACGAGGGGAAGTTTACTGGTTACATGGTCCATTTTGTTTCCTCCATTGTCCACTGTATAGCTGCAATAATCCTTATAAATAACTGGTTCCACCGGCCAGGACAACGGCCACTGGGAGGACCTTAAGAAATGGAACTGCACTTACAGTACCAGCAGCCCGTACAAAAAGACTGAAAAACTCTTTCTTACACAAGGCAATATGCCTGTACAACAAGTCTTCACAGTAAGACTCTAAGGACTCTCTGGTCTTTACTTTAGTGCCCATGTGAGGCTTTTTGTAATGTTTTTTTTTGTATGTCTGTATATGTATTGTAATGTTGATTTGTATTTGTATTTGCTAGACAACTGTAAAAAATCAGTGTTATTCAGCTTGTTTTGTACTGGCTGCAAGGCTGATGTTTATGAATAAACTGTTGATTAACTAGCATGTACATACATGTATACAAGGTATCCTGCCTTTAAACACAAGTAATGCCACTGACAGTACAACGTTGCCTTTTTGTTGTTGTTAAAAACAGTAAGATAAATGAATTGTGTTTCCCAGCATGACAAAGATGACCTGTCAGGTGGCCTGTCTGGAGGAGAAGGGCCAGAGCCTCGGCCGGAGAAAAGGGAGAAGGTTCTGAAGAGAAAGAAGGAAAGAAACGCATCCGGAAGTAAGCATTACTATTCTTCTACTATCATGAAAGTTCATCTGTGTTGGTAGTTACATGTTTAAAGTTAAAACTTTTGGTCCAACACAAAAAATTCTCTCACCTAGAGCTTTCGACCAGTCACTCTGGTCTTTCTCAGTAGACTGACCCAGTGAAGCTTGTCACGTGGCTTCTTTGAAGTGTGACGTCAACACTGGGTCAAAGGTATCTAGTGTTGACGTCACACTTCAAAGAAGCCACGTGACAAGCCTCACTGGGTCAGTCTACTGAGGAAGACCAGAGTGACTGGTAGAAAGCTCTAGGTGAGAGTGTATCACATTTTGTATTATCCAATGCAACCAATAGTGAAAATATAAATTCTGGATGCCTAAATATTCTACCTTTACAGCGGATGGTCGAATCAAACATCCCAGCGAGAGTCGAACGCGAACCTCCAGCGACGGGAGACCGCGGAACCCCAGCGAGAGTCGTTCCAGACACCCGAGCGAGAGCCGGTCTCGACATCCCAGCGAGAACCGACCGCGCCATCCCAGCGAGACGCGGGGGCGACCCCCGGGCAGTAAGAACCGTGAGACCGCGGCGGGGAGACTCCCGCGTACGAAGCGAGCGTCGGCCCCGCCCAAGCTGCAGACATCGGGAGAGGGCCAAAGTACAGAAGGAGAGGAGAGGAACCAAGCTGTGGAGGGTAAGGCCATAGCAAGTAATTTTTATGGATGACATCAGTGCACGCATTAATTTTTGCCTGATTTTGAAAAAAAAAAGAAATTTTGATGCCCTCTGACACTGTGACAGTGGTCAACATGCCGAAATTGGGCAAAGATGTCTGTTGTCATGGTGGAAGGTGGATGGCAGATAACTATGAAGAGAGGAGACAAGAAAAGGCTCTTTATTATCATGTTTCTTACTTTGATGCAGTGATGCTGGCTGTTTATATTTGATGTTCCCACTGAATCAAAACCAATTGTACAATGATTGAGTAAAATGTAGCAACCTTGTTTTTTTGCCCCGCCTTGTTGTTTTTTTCGCCCACTTGCTACATAATGTTACCATAAACTCCACAGGGTGTCTGCTACAGCACCAGTTACCATGGTGACAGACATCTAGTTCAGGTCATTGACCTTATTTGTTTGGAACAGAAGAAGGAGATGAAGAAACAGAGCGAAAGCAGTGTTTTCCTTCTTGAAATATTTAGTCCAAAACATCCAAAATTACCATCCAACTCCACAGGGTGTCTGCTACATGTACATGTACAGCACCAGTTACCATGGTGACAGACATCTAGTCCAGGTCATTGACCTTATTTATTTGGAACGGAAGAAGGAGATGAAGAAACAGAGCAAAAACAGTGTTTTCCCTTCTTGAAATACCTACAGTACCGTTCGCGTTATAGTTAACCGGGTACCCCGTTACTAACGAGTTATTTTTTCGTCAGAAAATGGTTAGAAAATCGTCAGTATTTGGTTAGATTTTCGTCAGAAAATGGTTAGAAAATCGTCAGAAATTATTTCTAACGCGTTACCGTTTGCGTTAATGTGATAGGGTCGGATTTCATGTTTGTTTTGCGCGCCGACAAGACAATAGCAATTTGCCACCTCCTGGGCGTCCGCTAATGTGTTGCGATGTTGCCCCTTGAAAAATAACAGCACCAGAGGCAAGTGGACATGTGATTCGTAAAATAACTTTGTGGTTTATCCATGTGTCGACTGTGTGAAGCGAATTGTGCTATCTTTTAATGCTATTCTATAGTTATTTCTAGCGGTAAATTACGTTGTGTAATACAATGTATGTCAACAAAGTGTAGCAGTGGGCAGACGATGTCTTGTACATTTTGTACCAGCGGCGGCCTACCGCTCTCACAGGACGTCATGGGACGTGACGAAACAAGAAATATCTGCCGTAGAAGAAATATAAATCGGTAACTCATGCCTTAAATTCACGGCGGTTTTTGACACAAAAGAAAAATTATTATAATTTTTGTAAGGCGCGCGGCTTACTAGTACTAGTAGTAGTAGCGGCTTACTCACGGTAAAATGTACCGTCACTCCCGGCGCAAGGACTCGGTTCGCCAGCTGAGGACTTTCCACAACAACCATGATGATATCATAGCAAATAAAGGAATATATAATAGATCTATCATGTTGAAATGATAATTGTAATACATGGTTCTATTTAATAGCGGTAGTTTTGTTCCTTATTTTGAGGGGAGAAACTGTCAAAAATCGAGGGAACGCAAACTGAGATCGGCTCACTTCCGGGTGCATAACGCCAAAATTTCTCGACGATTATATAAAAATGACCACTCATTTGCCGCCTACGGTAGCGTGTACATGGTAGTGCGATCATATCGTGCCAAAGTCAGCGTCAAACGTCAGAAAATCCCCGTAAAAATATAGTTGCAAAACACATTTCCCGCGCACTCAGGGCCGGTCGCCCTGGCCGCGGCCGCCCTGTGAGCAGCATGCTCATTATAATATGCAAGTAGCTACGCTCTGATTGGTTCACCTTAGATGACCTGCGCTGTGATTGGCTAGAACGAAGCCCGTTGCATGCTGGGGCGCCAGGGCGCGCGAAGTGCAGAGAGCTCGATCTCGAGAAAGCCACATTTACGCTGGTTTCTACCTTATTTCTACGACTAATTAGCAACATCCTAGTGACGAAATGCGTACTCAAAAGAATTTTCGGGAAAAAAAATATGTACATGTGGATTTGTGGTGCCTTTGGCGTAATTTTGTTGGTCACATACAACGTAATGTAACACGGAAGTGCATGGAGTCGGAGTCGCGGCACGGCTTTCCGTCCCACTCTAAACAAAACTCCAAGGACATAACAAAACTCCCCAAAACTGGTCAATAATTAGCCATAAAAATGTTGGTGGGCACGTGTAAATATGCTGCCTTTTTTCGAGTGTTATAGGAATTTTCCGCGATGTTTTTGCACATCCCTAACGTTACCTCACGCCCGCCGCCTATTATGTACGGCGGACTGCGGGGCATTTATAACTTCAGATCATCTAGGTTTCTTATTCGGTGGTAAAATAAGTTAACAGAGAAAAACAGCAAAACAAAGTTGACAAACTATAGAAACGCTTGCCTGGGCAACAGTGACAAAAGAAAATGTCGATCTAATTGAATTGCGCCGGTGATCGTAAAACGTTTTAAACGTTACAATATAGTAAAATGCAGGCTAGATCAACGTTCCTTCCGCTGTTCCAGCGGTGTGTATCGGTAATTTCCCGCCCCGGCCCGCATGAGGTAAATTAGTACTCCTCCCACGATTCCTGTGATGTTACCGCGCCTGCATATGAATGGAGAAGTCTGACGAAAAAGAAACGTGTTACTTTCGGAAAAGTAACGGAAAACTTTCGGAAAAGTAACCAGTTAATAACGGAAAACTAACGGGAAAAAAACGCGTTAGTAACGGCCGTTAGGGTAACTATAACGCGAACGGTACTGTAGTCCAAAACATCCAAGAACGAAAACTTGTTCCTTCCTTTACTATCATGAAACAACAAGGGGCCCTGCCAGGAAACGTACATCGGGGAAACAGAGAGGTCTCTAAACGCCAGGTTTCAAGAACATACACGGCCTAGCTCTGCCAGTTCAGAGGTGTCTCAACACATCCACATAGAGTCACCCGGACATTTTGTTTCACTTGACACTAGGGGTTTTAGACACTGAACAAGACTATTTCTTGAGAGGGGTGAAGGAAGCCATATACATCAGGGCCCATCACCCTACATTGAACCGTGACGGGGGCCGACATCGTCTACCAGATACCTTTGACCCAGTGTTGACGTCACACTTCAAAGAAGCCACGTGACAAGCTTCACTGGATCAGTCTACTGAGGAAGACCAGAGTGACTGGTCGAAAGCTCTAGGTGAGAGAATTTTTTGTGTTGGACCAAAAGTTTTAACTTTAAACTTGTTCCTTCCTTGCAGATGTTCCCATGGAGATGGTCCCAGACATGGAGGAGGAGGAGGGGGAGGAGCCTGAGGAGGTTTCCATGGAGACGGGTGAGGAGGCGGAGCCTGATGGACCCCCTGCAGAGGATCAGGAGTTTGAGCGGGAAGGGAAGGAGACTCTGAACCAGGATGAGGTGGTCCACTGTCTGTGTAACTACCCTGAGGAGGATGGCTTTATGATACAGGTAACAGTCATCTACTTAATAATGATAATAATAATAAATGGTTTTTATTGTCCAAACAGTACCCGTGCAGTCGCAGCTTTTAACGGCTGAATTAATGCAGGATAATGCACATAATAATGAATTATGTGGAACTGTCGCAAGGGTCTGTGCGGCTGCCATTCGGCACCACAAGGTGACCTCAATACGACTTTCCCCAACCGTAGTTAGGTACCCATTCACACCTGGGTGGAGTGAGGAAAGTCGTGTAAAGTCATTTCCTAAGGCACATGTCCAGACATGTCCCGGGTACAACTCAGGATCCAACCCGGGTCTCCCGGTTCACAGTCGAATGATCTACCACTACGCCACCTGACACCACCTACTTGAACTACAAGGCACAAATAAACCATCATAACAAACGGGTATAATGATTTTAAACGATAAATTACATGAACAAGCTTTCCAATTATATTTAATGCAATGAAATTGATAAATTAGAAAGAAGGAAAATGTCTATGCATGATATACAAAATGACTAGGAAGCTGGTTGACATTCCTACTACTGTACTGGGCACCTAATTCTTGCTTAACCAGGTATTAACCAAGATATGATGTAGGTAGGACATGGCATATAATATAGGGCTTATTCACCACAGATTGTCACGTGACTCTCCCCCTGGTGTCTGCCATTTTGGGGTCCAGCGTAGTGCCTATCTCTATGCAATGCTATGCAAACTCATGGCGATAGTTGGGTATTTTGGGGCCACAATCTACGTTTTGGACACTCTTGTTGTTAGTAACATTGTCCTTGGGGTTGTTCTGGCTCCGTGTCCACTTCTCATGTTGTCAAGATTGGCTTTTTTCTTTTTTTGCTGATCAGAAATCGGTGTGTTTACCCTGGCGCGGCGTACAGGGCTGTACATGTAACGTTACATGTAGATGGCAACGTGGGTAGCCATGAACACGGTAATCTGTTGGAGCTACTGTCCCTTTACTCTGTGGTAAATGTCCATGTTATGCCATGTAGAACAGGGCGCTGGCAACTTGTAACACTCACCTTGTCCAGCCACAGTCGCGGCAGTGCGGACTGAGGATGGCGGCCGATGGCCCCGCCTTTGCTTGTTGTTATCCAGACACAGTCCGGGACTGTTCCAAAATAGCGATCTTTTGCGTGTCCCGACTACAACGTACTTAATTGTCACCACGCAACTGTCCCACAACACTTTCTACACATCCTGATACAACGCTTCCAGACTCTTAAAGGGTTTGAACCTATCCTGTGTGTAAAAACTTTTGCCCAGTACCAAATACGAAGCTAAGTCACGTCAATGGACTCCGCTGGCGGTAGACGCCGTCTCGATCAGACTGATCAAAACTCAACAGAAACGGGTCAATCCCTACAGATTTTATTTTGTTCCGGTAACGAGAGGTATGAGTGGTGGTTAAGTCTTTGTGTAATAGGACAAAGGACAGTTTACCTAACGTTTGTCGGCCATTTCAACGCTTGGAAACTCGCTGTAGAGATGGACCCCAAAATGGCGCCGCACGGGACATGAGGGGTCTTGACGTCATGATGACGTGTGGTGAATAAGCTCTATAGTTATTTTTTTCTTAAACAACTGGTTATGTTTCTCACCTGCTTTCGTCTTTTAAACCATTGATGCTGCCATTTTAATTCCATGTTTTTTATCTCTCTGTGTTCAGTGTGAGGTGTGCATGTGCTGGCAACACGGCATGTGTGTGGGACTGACTGAGGAAACTGTTCCCAAGAAATACGTCTGTTTCGCCTGTCTCAACCCGCAAGGTTAGTAGGGCAGCTTCTTAAAGTCTCTATCTACAACTTCTTCAATCATTGAAGATTTAACACTGTGCCCTTCAAATTTGGAAGACACTAAACGTTTTGGAATTTGGAAATTACATGTAAATGTATTTCTGGCTGTCCTATTCTACAGTATTACTGTGTGATCTACAGTATTACTGTGTGAACTTCTGAAACCTTTCCTAACTGTTGTGATGTGATAACATAAAGCATGTCTGTGTGTCTTTCTCTTTCTCATGCTGCAGAAATCTCCACAGGTATTTCTGCTATTCTGTCTCTATATATATAGTATACACTGTCAGGATATTCTTGGCATCTAAGGGTCAGAAAAATAATAAAATCTTTGTTGTAGTACTTGTGTAAGAATTTGAAGTTAGCTCCCATTTCAGATTCAAGCTTAGGAGAGCAGTAAGATCTGTAAATAGGTTTTGTTTTATATGGTGCACCCAAAAATTTTCTTGTGCACCTAATTTTTTAGGTTGGGTGCACCAGTGCACCTACCGGGGTATTCTCAAAAAATGTATTTTGAGCCCTGCTGTAGCACCTTTGTCATGAAGAAGCTACCATGTTGTAATTCCCCTTTCCAAAGCAGGCCAGAGACTCAGCGCACGCTACCTGCACGATCAGGACTGGTTCAAACAGGGCATGATGGCACGCTTCTCCTTTGCTAAACCGCCCAAGGACGACACGCCGCGCTACGTGGCAGCCACGCATACGCTGATGGGAGACATGTACGGAGTGAAGACTGCACTGCACAGTCTGCAGAGGAAGATACAGATAGCTAAGTAAGATATCAGTGAATGTGTGTTACTTTCTGTCTCTGTGTAAGTGTGTGTGTGACTGTGTGTTTCTGTCTCTGTGCAAGTGTGTGTGTGTGTGTATTTCTGTCTGTGTGTGTGTGTGTGTTTCTGTCTGTGTGTTTGTGTGTTTCTCTGTGTGTGTGTGTGTGTGTGTTTCTGTGTGTGTGTAGTGTGTGTTTGTGTGTGTGTGTTTCTGTGTAAGTGTGTGTGTGTGTTTGTGTGTGTTTCTGTCTCTGTGTATGTGTGTGTGTGTGTTTCTGTCTCTGTGTAAGTGTGTGTTTGTGTGTGTGTGTTTCTGTCTCTGTGTAAGTGTGTGTGTGTGTTTCTGTCTCTGTGTAAGTGTGTGTGTATGTTTCTGTCTCTGTGTAAGTGTGTGTGTGTGTGTGTGTTTATGTGAGTGAGTGTTTGTTAATGCAGCATAATTGAATGAAACTTCATTATGCTTAGCATGTGGCATGACGCATGTGTACAATTCACCTGTCTTAAATGTCAAAAAGGATGAGTTTTGTTATTTTCCCCCAGAACGTCGGACCATCCTGAGCTGATCCTGTGGAGCCGAAGATGGGAGAAGGAGGTGGAGGAGGAGGAAGAAGAAGAGGAAGAGGATGGACCACGAGAAGAAGAACAACCCCAGACTCCCCAGGACACGTCAATGGACACGGAGGACGGACAGAACGAGACAGCACCTCACGAAGGAACGAATGAAGCAGCAACAAAGGAAAGCCATGAGGCAGATACAGGTGTGGTGGTAAACGGGGACACAGTTGAAGGCGAAGCCAATTCTTCTGTGGAACAAATTCCAATGGACACAAACGATTCCAACCACATTGACAGTCCACCAAAATTGAACGATCCAGAAAAGAGAGACCAAACGATTTTACAAGAAAAGAGTGAAGAAACACCACGCGAAGAAGAGAAGAAGTCTGAAAGTCCAAGAATTGAGCAAGACTTATCGACAACCACACCAGTAAGTTCTTCAGAAAACAAGACTGCGTCAATCTCAGGAAGCGAAACACAGGAAAACGTCCAACCTTCGGTTAGTCGAAACTCTGAACCGGAAAAAGGAAACCAGCGCGCTAGTCCAGCTGAGCCACAAAAGTCCAAGACCTTTGCCTCAGAACAAGCGAAACCTCAAATCATGGAGAAGGAGAAGAGTCCGGTAAAGGAGGAGTCTCCGGGTAAGTCGAGTCTGAGCGACAGCTGGGGTGACCACTCGTACAGCCGGCCGTGTACGCCGGTGGAGCGTCCGACCGTGGCGGAGAGCCGGGCTGGGAGGACCTCGGGGGTGGAGACACAGACACAGGAGGAGGGCAGACTACTCATGGCAGGGGCACTCGCACAGGTCTGTACATACATGTATGTGGACAGAAATAAAGTTTAGGTACTGGTAAAGGTAGTAGCATGGTAGGGGCACTAGCACAGGTCTGTACAGATGTGGTCAGAAATAAAGTTTAGGTACTGGTAAAGGTAGTAGCATGGTAGGGGCACTAGCACAGGTCTGTACTGATGTGGACAGAAATAAAGTTTAGGTACAGGTAAATGTACTAGAAGTATGGCAGGGGCACTAGCACAGGTCTGTACAGATGTGGACAGAAATAAAGTTTAGGTACTGGTAAAGGTAGTAGTATGGCAGGGGCACTAGCACAGGTCTGTACTGATGTGGACAGAAATAAAATTGAACGTCAAATTTTAGATACAGGTACAGATACAAAGGTTTAAGACCTGTAGACACAGACACAGGAGGAGGGCAGACTACTCATAGCAGGGGCACTAGCACAGGTCTGTACAGATGTGGACAGAAATAAAGTTTAGGTACTGGTAAAGGTAGTAGTATGGCAGGGGCACTAGCACAGGTCTGTACAGATGTGGACAGAAATAAAGTTTAGGTACTGGTAAAGGTAGTAGCATGGTAGGGGCACTAGCACAGGTCTGTACAGATGTGGACAGAAATAAAGTTTAGGTACAGGTAAATGTACTAGTAGTATGGCAGGGGCACTTGCACAGGTCTGTACAGATGTAGGCAGAAATAAAGTTTAGGTACTGGTAAAGGAAGTAAAAGTAGTATCTAGCTGAAGCTGAAATTAGGTACCCATTTTACATCTGGGTGGAGGGAAAAAAGCTATCAAGTGCCTTTCCCAAGGACACAACCGCTAGTAGCCGAGAATGCTGAGAATTGGATTTGTGTTCTTGTATCTGCTAACCAAGCCACTAGTTTGTTCCATGTCAAATTTTAGGTAAAATCCATCTGTCTTTTATGTCAAAAATGTACTTCAATTTACTTCGTTCAGGAACGTACTGGTACAGGTTTAAAGTACACAATTCTGATATTTTTTAAATGTAGTAAATGATTTTAATACTGGGTACCAGTATGTACATGTAGCTCTAATGTTTCCTGTTGTGTTGCTGCCCCAGACTGCAGACAGAGTGGAGAGTCTGCCCACTGATGGTCCAGACTACACGGCAGGAGTGCCACTGGAGTCTGGACATGGGCTATGGAGACAACCTGAGGTTAGGAAGAATTGCACTTTTAACCCTTACTCTCAGTTGTTTTCAGGTACTTTGAAAAGAGCTCTTAGTAGATAATTGTGTAACTTTGAAGTCTGGAGTTCCATTGATGTCCCTCCTGAGCAAGATTAACCAAAGGAAAACATATTGTTTTTGCTCAGTTTCTTCCTCTTCTTCTCCAAACAGTGACCTCTGACCTGACCAATGACATGATTTGTTGACGTCTGTCACCATGGTGACTGGTGTTGGTTACATTATGTTGCAATTTCATGGTCTGCTCTGCTCCTGTCACCATATACTAGTAGTACATGTATGTGAATGTGTTTGAGTAAGAATTAACAGAGCAGACCATGTCCGAAGGTAAACATTATGCATTTGCTTTGCAAATGTTACTTCTCTAGTTTATCACATAACGTCCTACCAGGATGTCTAACCTTCATGGAATATGCCAAAGTGTTGGCCTCAAGTAAACTTGTGCTTGTTTTCCAGCCTACAACAGTTGAACCGTCCACAAGCCAATCAGACGAGGCGACTGATGGTGTCGCCATGACGACCAGCACGTTGACCAATCAGGAGCAGGTTGCGCCGTTCTCGTGTGAGGTGAACCTGCTGGACCACATCTGTGAGATGCAGGACGACGTGGAGAAACGGCTGGAGATGATGGAACAACACATCATCGGTCAGTTTGTTTGTTTGTTTTGTATAACCAGTAAACAACTAGAGATGATGGAATAACACAACATCGGTCAGTTTGTTTGTTACCTTCGCCAAGAAAGTTATGTTTTTAGTAGCGTTCGTGTGTGTGTTCGTGGTTTAGCACGATATTTTAAGAAGCTTTAATGGATCGTTTTAAAACTTGGTAGGTGGGTAGATCTTCGTGGGACCTAGAAATGATTAGATTTTGGGCCTCCTGGTGGCTTTCCTAGATACTGCAGCAGAACTTCCAGTTTTGATATCTCGTGATCCAGACAGGCTAGGGCCACGAAATTTGGATAGTAGATAGCTCTTGGGCTAGGGAAGAAGTGACGTGAGTTTGGGCCCACTAGCGGCTTGTTCTGGAACTGCAGGAGGAGTTTAACGTGATGTCCTTTGTTGTTTTTGTTCCACCACAGCTTTGGAGACGGCCTGCGAAGCCCCAGCAACAACTCAGGAGGGTCAAGACCCCCTGCACGATAGGTCAAAGGTCAAAGGTGAAATCAGGCGGCTGCTGAGTGACCTGAACAAAGTGCAGTTGTTAGTCGGCATCACCCAGTAACTATAGACCGAAGAAAACATTGAAATTTGGTTTTCAAGTTTTGTTAATTTCTCTTGTATTATTTATTCCAGAAATGTTTCAAGACTAGAAAATTTTAAGGTAACATTTGCTACCAACAAACTACTAAATTGAACATTCATATATACATTGTATTGTGACCAGCTCATCCTGCACTGGCTACATAATGTAATGCAACACCACAGGGTGTCGGCTACAACACCAGTTACCATGGTGACAGACCTGTGGTCCAGGTCATTGACTGTTTTGTTTAGAGAAGAAGAAACAGAGCAAAAAACAGATGTTTTCCTCTTGCAAAGGTAAACATATTGACAACCTCCCAAGACAGTAAAGATATTCAGTGTTTCTAAGGACATGTATACATGATATTGTAGCAAAGTTGAGCTATTTGATGTATATTATATGATGATATGCATGTATAAAGAAAGGCAGGAGGAAAACAGATATTGTTTAGAGGATGCATACTTGATTGAGGTACAGTACACATGTATGTAGCAGGCACTTGCCTATGAAAACAGTGCCATTTTCTTCAATATGTTGCCAGTTTTGTTGACAGAGAATATTAGAGTTTGCTCCGTTCACTTTGCATATCAAAGTAACAGTTAGATGTAGATTTTTACAATACGGTTAGCACCCCAAACTCTTGATACAACCAAGATTTGTATGAAGAAAAAGTGTTTGTTTTTCTACATATTTCTGTTTCCATGCTTGTTTTTTTTCCATGTTCTAAAATGATTTGCTTGATGAAAGTACTTGTTTCTGAATTTCTTGTTTAGGTATGAAAAGAAGTTGCAGTTACAAATTTAATTGTACTGGTCTTTCTTGTGTGCTTTTGTCGATTTCATTATAAGCTACGTAAGTGCTTTCTTTTGAAGATAATGGCCATTTTATGCCAAAAAACAGTTACTCAAGCTACTGGATATGATTTTAGAAATGGCCATTTTATTTACTAATACCTCGCAAAAGTATCTCTTTAGTGTGTATGTGTAAATATGTGCAGGTTTGTGAGTGAGAGAATGTGCGAGTGTGTATGTGTGTGATTATTTTTGGCAGGGCAGCATACAAGGTATCACACAATACAATGTCCTTGGTTTATCATGAAAGTTCATCTGTGTTGGTAGTAATCATAGTAAAACGTTAAACTTTATTCCAACCGTAACTCTCGCGAGATCACGTTGTGAAGTGATTGGTCATTAATTATCCTGATGAAGGCGACAGTGGTCGCTGAAAATTTGATCCCTGTAAATAGTGTGTTGGAATAAAGTTTAACGTTTTACTACAATGTCCTTGGCATGCACTAAAGGAGTAAAGGCTACTAGGTTTGACCGTGACAATAGACGGTCTCACAGTGCCGCCTAGCAACATGGATTGGTACTGCAACTGTGCCTTATGTGCTGGCACCATGGCCGATTGTCTGCGTCTTAGAGCGTTTACAATACTACCTCTAATCCCCTCAAAAGCATACCTATTTTTTTCGTAGGGTTTGTCAAACTTTTACAAGTTCTTGTATTTCATGGACGCTCAAAAAGCGAGCGCGCGTGTGGTGTTCACCACACTATGTGTTTAACATTGTGCGGATGGCGGTCAGCACCAAGGACAGGCACCGTTTGCACGTAAACTTGTTGGGAAGAATGCCTGCAAGCCTGGGGCGTAATCGGCCGTTCTATCCCACACAATTCGTAGCCAGACGACTAAAATGGTTCATATACAACAGCATGTAGTGTACGTAATCGGTGCAGTCTATGCAAAGCGTAAAATAAGCTATATTAGTGCCTGGATTTTCATGTAGGCGGAATCAGCTTGCCCGAATGCAACGTAACATGTAGCCGCTGCCATTGTAAATTTATCGTAGTCCGTTGACAGTTCCACTCCTACCTTCCTCAAGTGCATGCCATTTTTTTCTGTAAGGTTTGGCCAGCTTTAACAAGTCCCTGTACTTAACGGACGCTCAAAAAGCGAGCGCGCGCGTGTGGTTTTCACCGTACATACTGTGTGTTTTACTATGAGGATGGTGTTGCATTCCAAAACGTGATCCATTCCAAATCATGATTTGGAATAAAATGAAGTGGAATGCACCTGCATTCCAAAACGTGGTCCATTCCAAAACATGATTTGGAATAACACGCAGTGGAATGCCTGTTGCATTCGAAAAGGTGATCCATTCCAAAACATAATATTTCGTAATCACGTGTCTGGGGGCGGAGCCTCGTACTTCTGTGGGCGTGGCTAAATGAAACGTGTCTGGAAATGTTTTTTAACACTCAGTGTTCCATATTATATTGTTACAGTCTGAGACGTGTCAAGTTTAATGCAGAAATGGGAGTGTCAAAATGCCCCACGAGTGTTTTAGAATACCTGTGTCACTTCTCGAAATAAATGGTTCCCTATGTTTCAAATTGGTAGCTTTTGGATATAAGCATTGCCCATGCTGTCTGCCTCTGTATGTTTTGACCTTCTAAGCCTCTTCAGTGTTAGTCATGGCACGCCCGTCAATTATACCCGCATTCAGGACCGCCACTGCACGGCCGAAGCATGGTAAAGCTCACACGCAACTGTGGCGACCATCTTTGTCACAATCTCAAAGTTTGTCATTTTTAAACAAAGCAGCAGCAACTCCACACAAAGTCCTATCCCAAGCCCACATGTATGGAGCACGTTTTGGAATATTGCATTTCGTATCTTTGTCTGAAACATTTTTCGGAATATTCTATAACGTGCCTAGAGAAAGGACACGAAATGGAATATTCCGAAACATGTCTGGAGCATGTTTCGGAATATTCCATGTCGTGACTAGATAAAGGGCACGAAATGGAATATTCCGAAACATGTCCTAACCATGTTTCGGAATATTCCATAACGTGGCGATATAGGCTTTGCCGCGGCCGAGCTAGTAACCCAATATCCCCATATATACTAGCTGGGCCGTGGAGACCACATTTCTAACTGAATTATTAGTATATTACAAGCTTGTTTGCATAATTTAATGACACAAAGTAATGCTAAATATTTACAAACTGCACTTTGATACAAAAAAATTTAACTATAAATTCCGTTCTCTCTTCTGTGGCTCAACAAGTATCACGTGATTCTTTAAGCGGGAAAATCATGAGAAACAGATCCGCGAGCATCCGACCAAGGAGTAAACTCAGGCCAGGTTAACTAGGAAACTAACATGATTGCCAGTAAATGGAACATCATACCAAGGATATCATAGTACTGATTGTTCGTGGACGTCCTTTTCCCCACACAGCTGAATTAAACGTGCTAACACCGTCGGCGCTCTAAGCCCGACATGTTCAGACAAGTAAACAGGGCACGATTTTGAACACAGTATTTGTATACGAACAGCAAAAATTAAAATTAAACTAAACAAAAACACGAAGAAGATAGCCCCCTGGCACTGTTAATCTCTGTTAATCCCGACTGGCAACTCCGAAGTCTATTAAAGTCAGTCTCAATTTTTTTGAAGTCTCGCAAAAACAACAGACCAAATATGGAAACTTCGGTATGAATAATTAATCACCACTCCTGTCAATCATTCGTGATTGACAGCGTGGCCGTTCACGTTTTGGAACATTCCAAATCGTGGTCCAGCTGCGCCATGATTTGGAATACAACGTGTGGAATGCCTGTTGCATTCCAGAACGTGGCCCATTCCAAAACATGATTTGGAATAACACGTTTTGGAATGCAACAGATGGCGTTCAGCACCAAGGACAGGTACCGTTTGCACTAGAAACATGTGGTGCCGAGGCTGATTGAATTAGCAGATTCCGGCTACTATACTTTGACCAAATTGAATACTTATTGCTGCTGACACTGCCTGTGTGTTATTTTGACACAAACTAGTCCGAAATTTTGAGCAGAGAGCCATTATTTTTCTGTGGGGATTGATTTTTGGCGGTAAAGTAGTTGTGGTTATCAGGATAAATTAGACCAGCTGTTGTACACAGCTGTGTAAAAGTCACAGTGGTACGGTCCACTTAGTCTGCGTCTGTCGGAGCCACGCGGGGAAGACCAGGAATTATTTGTCGACTTTTTGGTAAATTTTCGGCTTCCAGTTCGAAAAATCTTCATTCTAACTTGTAGAAGAAATCTTTGGGGATGGTTCTACGGCGGAGTTGTGCCGTTTTCTGGATTATGGGCGAAGAAATGGCGGATTTCCTGACGTGGCGGATTTTGGAGAAGACGAGAAAATGGCGCCAGAAGGATGGCGGCGTGGTCGTGGGGAGGGCAGAGTTTTCACAAGGTAAGGCAACAAGCCGCGCCGTAGAATTTATTTCCCACAAACTGATAACAACACGTTTCGGTATATTCGTGGTAAATTTGTGTGATTTTGAGAATGCAACACGATAGTTTGTGTAGTTTTGGGTCGTTGTTGTTTCAATATATCTCACTGTGATATTCACTCTTCACGTCTTCTCCCAGAATATCACAGTTCGGTATTGCTACTCTTGAGTTAAAGTTTAAAGAGAAAAAAATGGACGTTTGTTTCTGTATACCTGGTCTAATAATTTTGCCCCTTGTCTGTGAAACAGAAAGGAAACATGGGTAGAATATTTGTGGGAATTTCCCTCATGGAAAACACTAGAAATTTTGCCTATCGATATGCATGCAACATTTCTCTTCATTTGGCTAGGTATTTCAGACTGGGATAAAAATACAAGAAACTGACTTTAACTTGTTGTTTCTTGGATTTGCCAGTCTTTTTCCTGATTAAAAAAAACATGTACTTGTAACATTCAGGTTCTGTGTCAACCCCAAAATCCTCATTTTTTGCCATAAAGTCTGATTCAATAATTTTAGGTATTGGATAGGATTTCTGTAATGTTGTTACATGCATCTGATTTGTTTTTTGTTTAATCGTAGAACCAACTAATTAAACATCGAACATTCTCAAGTTTATGAAACCAAAAATACATGTAAACCTTTAAATTTTATGTACATGTGTAAAGTTAGACTAAGTGTAATATTCACATACATGACATTGTGTTAAATTAAACCAACTGTACAGAGTACCCTTGAGTGTCTACAAATGCATAGCAAGTCTTAAAAGTTGTTATATGACAAGTCTCCTCCTGGGTACAATTTTTCTCATCAATACCCTAAATTGATTATTCTGTATACAGTTAGGTGATTGAGTTTTAGCTGTATGTTTTAAACATGACTTTTAAGCTCTTCAAGAATGGCATCAAAAGTTTCTGGTCTACTAGTAGTTGTTAAGGTCTCATTCCGGTATTCTTCCGCGTGGGTACTCTAAAGTAGATCGTACTAAAAATTAAATGCGTGTATGGATGTGTGTTTATATCCGCCAGAAATTGCATTTTAGCTAAGTCAGTTGGCGTAAACCGCTTGTGATATGAGAGGTTGTTTGTATGTGCTAAAATTAGTGGGTAAGTGTTGACATCCGCGCGACAGGTCGGATGTTTACACGCTGTTGTGATGGGTAATGCGGTCAGGAGGTAGCAGCGCTGGAGGACCTCTGGCGGAGAGTGGCCAAGTGCAGTTTATAAATAAATAAAAAGAGATTGTTGAGTTAGATCTGGTTGGGAATTTTTTGACGTAATGTAGGGCCATTGTGCTCAAAATTGATTGGATAGACTAGATGGCTGTCATTCAAATTATTGGGTTTTGGCCTATGTAAAGTTACGTATTTTGCCATAGGCGGCTATAGTTAACAAAAACTCACGAATGAGACCTTCAGCTTTTTATTGTCTGTGTGTGACAGGGCTGATAACACCTTGTAA